TCCAAGCTGAGATAGTTTCAGATGGAGATGAGGAACTTGTTGGGAACTGGGGTAAAGCTATGTTTTAGCAAAGAGACTGTTGGCATTTTGCCCCTGCCCTATAGAGGTTTGTGGAACTTTTAACTTGATGGAAATGATTTAGGGTATCTGGTGGAAGAAATTTCTAAGCAGCAAAGCATTCAAGGGGTGACTTGTGTGCTGTTAAAAGCATTCAGTTTTTAAAGGGAAACAGAGCATAAAAGTTTGGAAAATTTGCAGCCTGACCATGTGATGGAAAAGAAAATCCCATTTTCTGAGAAAAAATTCAAGCCTGCTACAGAAATTCATATAAATAACAAGGAACCAACTGTTAATTGCCAAGACAATGGAGAAAATGTTTCCAGGGCATCTGGCATGAGAGACCTTTGTGGAGCCCCTCCCATCACAGGTCCAGAGTTCTAGGAGGAAAAAATGATTCTGTGGTCTGGGCCCGGGGTCCCCCCTGCTCTGTGCAGCCTAGGGACTTGGTGCCCTGCTTCCCAGCCACTCCAGCCATGGCTAAAAGGGGCCAAGGTACAGCTCAGGCCCTGGCTTCGGAGGATGCAAGCCCCAAGCCCTGGGAGCTTTCACATGGCGTTGAGTCTACAGGTGCACGCAAATCAAGAATTGAGGTTTGGAAAACTCCATCTAGATTTCAGAGGATGTATGGAAACACCTGGATGTTCAGTCAAAAGTTTGCTGCAGGGGCAAGGACCTCATGGAGAACCTCTGCTAGGGCAGTGCAGAAGGGGAATGAGGGGTTGAAGCCCCCACACAGAGTCCCCACTGGGGCACTGACCAGTGGAGCTGTGAGAAGAGGGCCACCATCCTCCAGACCCCAGAATGGTAGATCCACCGAGAGCTTGCACCTTGCACCTGGAAATGCTGCAGATGCTCAACACCAGCCTGTGAAAGCAGCTGGGGGTGGGGGTAGGGTGGCTTTACCCTGCAAAGCCACAGAGGCTGAACTGCCCAAGGCCATGGGAGCCCACCTCTTGCATCAGTGTGACCTGGATGTGAAACATGGAGTGAAAGAAGATGATTTTGGAGCTTTAAGATTTGACTGCCCTGCTGGATTTTGGACCTGCATGGAACCTATAACCCCTTTGTTTTGGCTAATTTCTCCCATGTGGAATGGCTGTATTTACCCAATGCCTGTACCCGCATTATACCTAGGAAGTAACTAACTTGCTTTTGATTTTATGGGCTTATAGGCAGAATGGACTTTGTCTCGGATGAGACTTTGGACTGTGGACTTTTGCATTAATGCTGGAATGAGTTAAGACTTTGGGGGATTGTTGTGAAGGCATGATCGGTTTTAAAATGTGAGGATGAGATTTGGGAGGGGCTGGGGCAGAACGACATATTTTGGCTCTGTCCCCATCCAAGTCTCACCTTGAATTGTAGCTCCCATAATTCCCACATGTTGTGGGAGGGACCTGGTGGGAGACAATTGAATCAGGGGGCCTGTTCCCCCATACTGTTCTCATGGTAGTGAGTAAGCCTCATGAGATCTGCTGGTTTTATAAGGGAAACCCCTTTTACTTGGTTCTCAGTTCTCTCTTATCTGCTGCCACGTAAGATGTGCCTTTTGGCTTCTGCTATGATTGTGAGGCCTCCCCAGCCATGTGGAACTGTGAGTCCACGAAACCTTTTTTTCTTTATAAATTACCCAGTCTTGGGTATGTCTTTATCAGCAGCACGAAAACAGACTAATACAGACACCTAAGCTGGAGTGCAGTGGCAGGATCATGACTCACTGCAGCCTCAACCTCCCAGGTTCAATCAATCCTCCCACCTCAGCCTCTTGAGTACTGGGACTACAGGTGTGCAACACCATACTCAGCTACTTTTGTACTTTTTGTAAAGACAGAGTTTCACCACGTCACCCAGGCTAGTCTTGAACTCCTGGGCTCAAGCAATCTGCCCACTTCAGCCTCCTAAAGCACTGGGATTACAGGCATGAGCCATCGCACCTGGCCTAAAATACACAAGCTTTAAATAAGTCAGATGGAATAAGAGTTGCAGAAAGAAACCATCAGAGTGACTTCTTGGTAATCTTGGTAACATAAGGGTCCAGTGATTACTAAACTGCCCAACTCCTTGTGCTTTGTGACTCAGATTCTCCATCTGTCCGAGTGATGCTATAAATCTGTTTCATAGAGCACAAGTTCCTTTACTCTAAAAAGAAAGTTCATGTCTTGGTAGCATAAATTCCAGAAAATTAAACTGCAGTAATTTCTTACAGTCCTCAGTCTTAGAGGCCTTCCCAGATGGCCTCCAGGAGTTAACATAGCTTCCTAATTATCAGAAACCATGTGAATGGCATGCACTTACTGTACAGGAAGCATTTAAGATAACTAAGAAAAATACACTTCTTTAAGCTCTCTTTAAAGTAACTCTCCAAAATGTTTACAACTTTAATAATTTATATGGGGCATAGTATCTAAGGTCTATAATGGCCTCTCTAGATATTGTACTCAAAGGAAACTGTATCTGGAGCGTTATTGTTCTCTTGTCAAATTATGCTAAAATTGGTCCATTTGGGGAAACTTTTTAAAAATAGTCTGAGTTAATCTCTGTCTCAGTCAGTTTCACTAGAAAACCAGGAGTGAGGGTCCCAGTGAGATTTCAAAAACAACTTACTTTCAATTTTCTCTTGACTTTGCTATTCTCATCTTGCTACAGGCAGTTAGTCTCCAGAAACCTGAGGGAAAACCTGTCTTTCCTGACATTAGGATGGTGGGAGGAAGCTACAGGGTGTACCCCACCACACATTCACCTGTGGGGCTTGGCATCCAGATAGTACATCCGGCATGTTCAGGGAAGGGCATCCAGATCTGCTCCCCATCACTCTTGGCTCCCTGCCCATGTCTGCTGGAAGGGTTAGGGTTCTGAAACCACTTTTGCAAAACTTATGACAGTGAGAGAAATCTAACATGGCAGATTCCATCTTGCTTCTAACCTCACAAGCTTATTGCTCTTGCTCACTCCTGAGTGTAGGCCAAGATAACCATGGGAGGAATTTATTGTTTACCTTAAAGCAAGGATGATGATAGCCCCTTCCCAAAACTACCCTCCTCCTAGTTCAGGGACTAAAACCACCTTTGTAAAATGAATGAAAGACCAAAAGTTTAGAATTATGGGGGGAGCCTGAATTCTAACAACTATGTAAAGCTCAGTAATAACCAGCCATGGTCCCTAGCTTGCTTACTACTCAGGAGTTACATAGCCAGAGGTCACAAGAGTTATAACTTCCCCAATTGTTCCTACAGATAATATCCCTATTGTAAAACCTAAGATTGGTCTTTGAGATATTTTTCAGACTTTTTTTTTTTTGAGACAGGAGTTTCACTCTTGTTACCCAGGTTGGAGTGCAATGGCACGATCTCGGCTCACCGCAACCTCCGCCTCCTGGGTTCAAGCAATTCTCCTGCCTCAGCCTCCTGAGTAGCTGGGATTACAGGCACGTGCCCACCATGCCCAGCTAATGTTTTGTATTTTTAGTAGAGACGGGGTTTCACCATGTTGACCAGGATGGTCTCGATCTCTCGACCTCGTGATCCGCCTGCCTCAGCCTCCCAAAGTGCTGGGATTACAGGTTTGAGCCACCGTGCCCCGCTTTTTCAGACTCTTGCATCCTGATGAACAGACACCGCTCGGACCCATGACTCACACCAGGGAACTGAATTGGTCCTGTAACTCTCTCTCTTTTTTTTTTTTTTTTTTTTTTTGAGACTGGAGTTTCGCTCTTGTTACCCAGGCTGGAGTGCAATGGCGCGATCTCGGCTCACCGCAACCTCCGCCTCCCTGGGTTCAGGCAATTCTCCTGCCTCAGCCTCCTGAGTAGCTGGGATTATAGGCACGCGCCACCACGCCCAGCTACTTTTTTGTATTTTTAGTAGAGATGGGGTTTCACCATGTTGACCAGGATGGTCTCGATCTCTTGACCTTATGATCCACCCGCCTCGGCCTCCCAAAGTGCTGGGATTACAGGCTTGAGCCACCGCACCCGGCCGGTCCTGTAATTCTCAACCAGATGCTGCCTCCGCAAGCGATGACAGTTCCAACACTCCTGTGATTTCATCCCCAACCAATCAGTAGCACCCATTCCCCAACTCCCTGCCTGCCAAATTATCCTTTAAAAATCCTAGCCTCTGAGTTCTCAGAGAAGTAGATTTGAGAAATATCTCCCATCTTTTTTTCTTTTACAACTGGCAAATATGAGTCTGTAGCCCTATCAGACCAATCTGGCCCAACTTTTATGTAACAAAGTAGTGTGTTGTTTTTCAGTTGCCATGGACCCTCAGGTCATGTAACCTGAGCATGCCCAGATGGACCAAGCATTCAACCACACAGGGAACCTAACTGCTCAGATTGAGAAGAGGGAACTGAATTAAAGAAGTGGACATTGCATGGCAGAATCTAGAATCCAACTGGACTGAGCCCTGACATCACCCCATGGCAGGATCCAGTTAGATCCTGCCTCCTGACATCAGCTCATTGCAAGATCCAATCAGATCATGCCTCATTACCCAATGTTTGGAAAACCTGACCCAGCCCCCAGCACAGGGAGACACTGCTTTGGGGACTATCCCTGGTGTTCTCCTTACTCTTTACAAGTAATAAAATCCCCTTGGTAAACCTTCCTTAATTGTGGTCATTGGGTTAACACCCACCAAGCAACCGACCCCAACTGTTGCGTGGGTAGCAAGTCCTTCCTGAATTACTTTATATGGGAGTCCTAGAATTTAAATTGTATCCTACTAAATTTGAGAGAAATTGTTATTTTAAATTCACCCTGCTACTGCATTCACCAAATGATAATCTCTTTACTGGAACTTAGCACACCTGCCCAGAACAGGAACAACCTGAGAACACATACCTTTACTTGTTTTCTATGGCAATACATAGTGAAATAATTAATTATATGTCTGATGTAGAAATGAATAAAGACAGATACAGAAGTGTGTTTAGGCTTTATCCAAGAAATCTTTCCCCTCTTAATCAGTTTGCTCCCTCTCACTGCTTTTTCTTTTCAGACTTGGCTCACTGTAACCTGGAATGTGCTTTTCAATATTTTGGTTTTCCATGAAAATTCTTACAGCCCAACAGTACCCTGCACAAGGCTGGGGAATCAATGAATGATTTTTGAGTAAATGTATTTAGTCTGGAATGATGTATTCTGTAGTGAAATTTCAACTGAAGACTTCTAATTGAGAGTTGTTTCATCCTCCTTAATAACAAGATCAGAAGGTGTTTTCTTTCTTTCTGGCAGAATAAAATCTGCATGTCCTGGTGAAAGCTTAGGAAAGGTATAATTGATGTATTTTTGAAATGCCATCCTGGTTTCCTGTAATTCCTCCTCTAGGAAATCTTTCCAATTTGTCATGATTCCCAGCTGTTTTGCTATGGACAGCAGCTCCCCCTGGGTGTCAGCCAGTTTATCCATCACATTGTCAAGAGTGGCCTGATGTGTTTTTTCTGCTTCTTGAAGCACTTCCTGTACCTCTTCTTGCCTCTGCCTCTGAGCTATGCTATAGAAGACATTCATTTCATGTTCTTTTTCCCTCATCAGGCGGGTCACACTGGTCTTCTCATCCTTAATAACTGTGATACCAGTATTCACAATATCCTCCGCAACTTTGCTACAAAAGATAATATGGATTTATAAGTTACATGGATTAGCCACTAAAACCAAAGTCATTTCATCTTTAAACACAGATGAATGAGTAATTGTTGAGACGAGCCACCAGCCTGAGACAGGCTGATATAGATGAGCTTTTGGACTGCATCAGCTGTTTAGCTGTTAACAAAACACGTTTTAAGAGCAGGGAGGCTTCCTATGTACTTCCCTGCTGTGTGCTAGGGTGAAGCCACTAGTCTAATATCCAATGGCAACTTTAGGACCCCGAGGTCACCTTTGTCAGGAAAATATAAATGCACTGTGCTTAAAAATTAGGAGATAAGGTCAGAGTTCCAAACTCTGCAGAGAAAGTATTTCTTTCTTTCTTTCTTTTCTTTTCTTTTTTTTTTTTTTTTTGAGATGGAGTCTCACCCTGTTGCCCAGGCTGGAGTGCAATGGCACCATCTCAGGTCACTGCAACCTCTACCTCCCAAGTTCAGTTATTTTCCTGCCTCAGCTTCCCGAGTAGCTGGATTACAGGCACCTGCCACCACGCCCAGCTAATTTTTGTATTTTTAATAGAGATGGGGTTTCACCATGTTGGCCAGTCTGGTCTCAAACTCCTGACCTCGTGATCCACCCGCCTCAGCCTCCCAAAGTGCTGGGATTACAGGCGTGAGCCACCGCACCTGGCCAAGAAAGTCTTTATACTAATCTAGATGCTGACCTTTAGCCAGGGATGAAAAAACTTTATACTCACAGGATAGATTTAGCTTTAATCTTGATTTTATCTGAGCAATACTCTATGACAGTCACCTAAACTTTTGGTCTCAGGAGCTCTTTACACTCTCAAAATTACTGAGGAAGACCAAGAGCTTTTGTTTATATGAGTTATATCTATTGACATTAACAGTTATAGAAACGAAAAGGGAGACATTTAAAAAATACTTATGTAAAATAAGAAATCTATTCCTCAACATAAATATCTCTTATGAAAAATATTTTCCAAAACAATGAATTATTTCATGAGAAAAAATGGTATCATTTAGCTTATTTTTTGAGACAGTGTCTTGCTCTGTCACCCAGGCTGGACTGCAGTGGCCTGATCTTGGCTCACTGCAACCTCCACCTCCCAGGTTCAAGTGATTCTCATGCTTCAGCCTCCAGAGTAGCTAGAATTACAGGTGTGCACCACTACACCTGGCTAATTTTTCTATTTTTTTAGTAGAGACGGGATTTCACCATGTTGGCCAGGCTGGTCTTGAACTCCTGACCTCAAGTGATCTGCCTGCTTCTGCCTCCCAGCATGCTGGCATTACAGGTATGAGCCACTGCCCCCAGCCTCATTAAAAACATTTTTTTTTGCAAAACTCTTTAATGTATGGCTTAAGAGTAAAAAGCTTAATTTTCATACTGTTTCAATTGATTGTGATATCACACATCGCAAAACCCTGGAGAACACCATTATATACTCATAGGAGACTAAGAGCAAAAAAGGCAAATAACATGTTAGTGTTAGTAAGAAAATAGTTTAAATCTCATGGACTGCCTCCTTAACGAGCCTCAGGGACCTTGAAGGGTCTCTGGACCACACTTTGAGAAGCACTACTGAATGATTAATAGACCTCTGGCTATCATGTAGGGAATTATAAATAATTTATAGCACCCAACCATGTTGACCTCTTACCATGTCAAAGCAGGTTAATGAGCATTCTATGCATATATTAATTCAATGACTTCTCAAAAACAATTCTGTAGTGTGGTTCCAATACTATGCCCTTTTTATGAAGAAGCCACTGGGCTCAGGGAGTTTAAGTCATTTAAGTTTGCTTAATAAGTAAGAGAGGCAAAATCTATACCACAATTCAGGCAGTCTGGGTCCAGGTCACACCCTCAACGCACTGTGCCCCACCCTATTCCTGGCTTCAATTCCACAACTTTAGGGGACTCATCAGAATGAAATTCAGAGACACTCTGACCTCAAACTAAAGAATTGAAAAATTCAAGCACTAAGGCAGGCTGGGAGGAAGTTGGGGCTGAGTGCCGTGGCTTATGCTTATAATCCCAGCACTTTGGAAGGCCGAGGTGGGAGGATCACTTGAGTCTAGACTGACCAACATAGCAAAACCCTCTCTCTACTAAAAATACAAAAATTATCTAGGCACGGTAGCACGTGCCTTTGACATAGTAAAAGCTCTTAGTCACTGTAACACATTTCCAGTGGATTTCTGCAGTTAACACAGTTTGAGGCCGGGTGCGGTGACTCACGCCTATAATCCCAGCACTTTGGGAGGCCAAGACGGGTGGATCGCGAGATCAGGAGTTCAAGACCAGCCTGGCCAAGATGGTGTAACCTTGTCTTTACTAAAAATACAAAAATTAGCCAGGCACTTGTTATCCCAGCTACTTGGGAGGCTGAGTCAGAGAACTGCTTGAACCTGTAAGGTAGAAGTTGCAGTTAGCCGAGATTGTGCCATTGCATTCCAACCTGGGAAACAGAATGAGACTCCGCCTCAAAAAAAAAAAAAAGTTTGAGCAGAACCTCTAAAGATTTGAGGTTTTAAGATCTCAGTTGTATGGCTGTTAATAAAAATCCTCCCTCTCTGCCTCCCAGTCTAACACAGTCTTTCCAACATTTACCACTGGCCCTATGTCCTAAATTCTACCCCCAAGATGAAATTCTCTCATCTTCTCAGAGTCTTTCAACTGGACTTTAAAACCTGACAGACTTCCCTAGTCTTGAAATAAATCACATCTTTCTTTAGCTTCTGTAACCATTGTACTATTTCTCTTCTTCCTTTTCCTACCAGCTAAGCTTTTTTCAATATTATTAACAGGGGTAATGATTATTGAGTATTTACTGTGTTACAGGAACTGTGCTAAGTATTTTACATGCATAATATCTCATTTAATTTTCACAACCCAATGAAGCTGATACTTTATTTATTTAGAGATGAATCTGGCTCTGTCTTCCAGGCTGGAGTGCAGTGGCACCGTCTTGGCTCACTGCAACCTTCACCTCCCAGGTTGAAGTGATCCTCCTACCTCAGTCTCTCAAGTTTCTGGGATTACAAGCATGCACCACCACACATGGCTAATTTTTGTATTTTTAGTAGAGAGAGGGTTTTACTATGTTGGCCAGGCTTGAACTCCTAACCTTAAATGATTCGCCCACCTTGGTCTCCCAAAGTGCTGGGATTACAGGTGTGAGCCACTGTGCCTGGCGTATTTTTACTTAGAACCTGTGATTGTTCCCTTGTAACAGGTGAGAAAACTGAGGCTTAGAAAAGAGTAAGTTATTGTTCAATGTCACACAACTGAGAAAGCCGGGGAGTTCCTGCTTTAATCTCATGAGTGGGCACTATAAATTTTTTGTCAGGAGGGTGGCCCAATGAAAATAACATTTTAGACTTGTTATTCAGGTAACAGTGGTTGAACTGAATCTTAGTGGGGTGAGCTAGAGAGACCAATTAGTATCATTTCATAATATTCTTGAGGTGCAATGATGAGGGTCTGAACTAATGACAAAAGAGAGGGTTGGGAAAAGGGAGAGAAAGAGCTAAGCCTAGGAAATATTAAAAAGTCATAGCTGCCAGAATCTGTGACTGCTAGGACATAGGGGATGTGGCAAAAAGAGGAATCAAAACCACCTTGCTGATATTCAACCTGGGTCACAGGAGAATGGAGGTTCCATTGACAGACATGAAGCTATGTATAGAGTGGGGAGTGTGCATCGATACGCATTCTTAGGATTTAGTCTGATGTTTTATAACATCCTGAGGCTGTTGATGAGATTGTTAGGGTGATGAAGCTGTGTTCCCTGTGTCCTCTAAAACAAGTAGGCATGAGCCTCCTGCCAGGTGGGGCTGACTTTCCTCTCACACAAACGGGAGGTTTCATTTACAGGCTAACTGGAAGGCTCTACCAGAATGGAGCTCAGGTAAAACTGATCCATTAATGCATATCTTAGTTGACTCCAACTCCCACCCTCAATGATAGTCCCTTTCAGACTCCCTAATATCAAAATCTCTTATTGCTAACAGTCTGGTACTTCAAAAAAAAAAAAAAAACTTTTTCTTTTCTTTTTTTTTTTTTGGTTCGAAACAGGGTCCCACTCTGTCGCCCAGGCTGGAGTGCAGTGGCACAATCTTGATTCACTGCAAACTCTGCCTCCTGGGTTCAAGCAATTCTCCCATCTCAGCTTCCTGAGTAGTTGGGACCACAGGCACGTGTTACCATGCCCAGCTAATTTTTGTATTTTTTGTAGAGACAGCGCTTTGCCATGTTGGCCAGGCTGGACTCAAGTGATCCTCCCACCTCGGCCTCCCAAAGTGCTGGGATTACAAGCACAAGCCACAGCGCCCAGCCCAACTTTTCTCAGCCTGCCTCAGTGCTTGAATTTTTTATTCTTTAGTTCAGGCGTCCCCAAACTTTTTACACAGGGGGCCAGTTCACTGTCCCTCAGACTGTTGGAGGGCCACCACATACTGTGCTCCTCTCACTGACCACCAATGAAAGAGGTGCCCCTTCCTGAAGTGCGGCGGGGGGCCGGATAAATGGCCTCAGGGGGCCGCATGCGGCCCTCGGGCCATAGTTTGGACTGCCTGCTTTAGTTTGAGGCCAGAGTGTCTCTGAATTTCATTCTGATGAGTCCTCTAAAGTTGTGGAATTGAGGCTAGGAGTTGGATGGGGCACAGTGTGTTGAGGGTGTGACCTGGAATGCCCATTTATTTTCATATCTCCCCTGCCTAGCATAGTGCCCGTTGTGGATACAACAGGCAAAAAAAAAAAAAAAAAAAAGTACGAGTAAGTGGGTAACACAGATGAAGTTCTCTCTAATACATGTTGTACTGAATAACACTAAATTTTAAAGCAGCTAAATTGGAACATTACAAAAGCTGTAAAGAATTCATGAGGCCAGGCACGGTAGTTCACACCTGTAATCCAAGCACTTTGGGAGGCAGAAGCAAGTAGATCACTTGAGATCAGGAGTTCGAGATCAGCCTGGCTAACATGGCAAAGCTCCATCTCTACAAAAAATAAAACAGATTTGCTGGGCATGGTGGCAAGTGCCTGTAATTCCAGTACTCAGGAGGCTGAGGCAGGAAAATTGCTTGAACCTGGGAGGCGGAGGTTGCAGTGAGCCGGGTTCACACCACTTCACTCCAGCCTAGGCAACAAAGCAAGACTCTCTCAAAAACAAACAAACAAACAAACAAAAAACAGAATTCATGCTTAAAAAGGATGCTTAACATAAGCAAAATGTTTGCCATAGGAAAATAGCCAATTCTTGGGATATGTATAAAATGTTTTTCAATGTGCATAAATTAGTCTACTGATATTTTTTTCCCAAAGAGGGCGTAGAAAGCTTGTCAAATGAGAAAGAACTGTGAAAGAACTAGGAATTAGTACTTTTTGGTTTTTCTTTAAATTAAATCTTGGACATAATCTCTCTCCTCAAACATCTGAAGGATCACAGTGTACAGAGGAGGGGCAGGGCCAGAAGCCAAGGGAAAAGGCGAGGCCCAGAGTTTCTGTATCCACGTTAGGAAGAACATGACAAGCAGAGGTGTTCAGTGTTTGGACCAACCACCTCAACCAGCGACATCAGGGAGGCTCACCAATGACTGGCTGGCATCTAGCAGAAGGAATGGCAGGTACAGCTCCATAACCCTGAGGCTATTTATCCGGCCGCACTTCAGGAAGGGGCACCTCTTTCATTGGTGGTCGGTGAGAGGAGCACAGTATGTGGCGGCCCTCCAACAGTCTGAGGGACAGTGAACTGGCCCCCTGTGTAAAAAGTTTGGGGATGCCTGGTCTATGCTTTCTGTAAGCAGTGAGGTTCTTCTGCCATCTCTATGAGGCTGTACATTTGTAATTTTGAAATACACACCATGTTTCAGGGTGGCACTAGCCAGAAATGTAACTATTTTCAAAATAGTTGTAGTATGTGTCCAAATTTATAGAATTCAGTCTGATATTTTATAAATCAGACTCGGAGAATGAAAACAAGTTACTAAATAAAAACATAATCTGATATCCAATAACTCAATCTTAGCTGATAGGAAAAAAAAACATGGAAAATCCATACTAGCAATTGATCCTTTGCCTGTTTAGTCCATAATAAGCTATTAATCTACTTTTCTTTCTTTCTTTCTTTTTTTGAGACAAAGTCTCACTCTGCTGCCAGGCTGGAGTGCAGTGGCATGATCTCGGCTCACTGCAAACTCTGCCTCCCAGGTTCAAGCGATTCTTCTGCCTCAGCCTCCGAAGTTGCTGGGATTGCAGGCACCTACCACCACTCCCAGCTAATTTTTATATTTTTAGTAGAGACAGGGTTTCATCATGTTGACCGGGATGGTCTCAATCTCTTGATCTTGTGATCCACCTGCCTTGGCCTCCCAAAATGCTGAGATTACAAATATGAGCCACCACACTCGGCCTAATCTACTTTTCATTAGAACTATAGTATTGGTAGCACTATTTCAGTCAGGTACAACCATTGTGTTTACCAGTAACCTATATTCTGATTTTTTGCCTGGGACACAGGGAACCACTGGCTCTCTGGTCTGGCAGGAAGCTGCAGGCGTTTCAGAAGTTAGGCAGGTCAGGGACATCTCCAGATGCCAGCATTCAGCAGCGCATTTGTATCCCCAGGTTATTAACACTCTTGAACCTCCCCTTGGCTCTGCCTCATTATACATCACACTTTCTCCTTCCATGTCTTTGCTCATTCTGTTCTCATTCTTTTGCCTCTCTCACAAGTGGGACCTCCTACCTTTTCTCTTTAAAGCCCAACCCAAGACTAACTTCCTCTAAAAAACCTGCTTCACTATGTACCCCACCCACACTGCTTAATCTTTCCAGTACTTTGAACTCTTCCAGTGCTATCTGTACCAGTCCATCCAGGCTTGCTTGTTGGGAGCAGCCATGTGCTAGTGATTTCACAATGTTGAGGAAGGGCCCTTATTTTGTGCCACATCCACAGAAGGTACTTGATAAGCTCTAGTGAAGTGAACAAACCCTCTAGAAAACTCACATATCTTCTCTACCTGTAGAGTAGGCAGCTTAATGGAAGGTCACAAGCTTTGGCATCATAAAGGCCAGGGTTCAAATCAGGCCCTGTCACCTCCTTCCTCTGTGACCTTTGGCAGTTTGCTTAGTTTCCCTTTAAGGCCTTAACCCTCCAGGGTCTTAGCCTGAAGATATGTAGGATGATAGAGTCTCCTAGGAAAAGATATGCAGATGCAAGGAGAAGTCTACAAAAGGCCTTGCATGTGCTGCATATTGAATAAGGAGAGCTGTCACTAAGAATTACAGCCATGACCACAAAAATTCCTGAGTGGTCACTTCATTCATGCCTTGCCTTGGGCTAGAAAACAATTAGAACCTTTACAAACAGACTTTTTTTTTTTTTAACTTTAAGAGAAAGAGTCTACTGTCTCTTGGGCAATCTGTTTAAAATCTAATCACCTCAACCCATGAAAAAAAGTTTTCCATGTAGTTAATTTCTCATAATATTTAAGTGTTATAAATCCTTAAGTCTTCATGAAAGTTTATAGTAAAACAAAAGATCTGCATAGAATTCTCAACACTGGTCTCTCTCCATGTATTAGTTTCTGCAAATTCTCTAAAGAACAGAGGAATCTGGTAGTGTCTAGATATACTTTCTGGTGTGTGAAGAGTGGGTTCAACTAATTGGAACAAATTTAAATCATTTATTCAATAAATATTTCAAGAATGCCTACCATGTGCCAGACTTTCTTCCAGGCACTTGGGAAACATAAATTGACAAAATGGGCATTCCAGCTGGATATATTTGAACACTACACATGGCATTTCCCTAATCCTAGTCTACGTATTCAATAAAAGGCAGACATTGAAAACCTTCCGTCAAATCTCACAGAGGAAAGGGCTGGATGGGACGCAAAAACAATCTAGCAAGAGAGAGAGGTGGGGCAGAGCTCCAGCAGATGGCTGGCAGGAGAGAAAGGAAAAGAAGATCCACCTTCCAATGCATTGGGGCACAACTCATTCCCTAACCCCCTGCTGGTATCCCCTCTCTGATCTTCCTCTTCTGCCTCCACAGTGACCTGCAGTCTATGCAGGAAAAGAGGTACCAGTTAAACTGTCACAGCTGTAGCTCTCATTCTCATTTATTTGTACCTCCTCCAGGATCTTACCTGTGACCCTATTCTGAAGAGTTCTAATGAAAAAGATTTTACCCATTAATTATATAGAAATGGCTTCATTTGTTAACTCAAGCAGCAAAGCAAAAGGGACCAGTCACAGACTAGAAGGCCAAATAGGGAGGTCTCAGTCAGTCTCAGCTCTGCTGCTACAAGTCAGTGATCTTGGGTAGGTAAATGACCTGGTAAAAAATCTGGAAATTATGGTTTTTCTCTTGCATATGACAATCTCTGGGCTCCTAACTACTGTCCTGTTCCAGTAAAGAATCATTACATACATAGAAATAGTTATCTTGGTTCTCTTAAAACATATCTACGTATGACCTGATTTGTGTAAAAACGATTTGTGATGATGCACATACATATGGCTGTAAAAACATCAAAAGGGCATGGAAAGATACAGACTCTATTGTTTAAAATAACTGTCTCTGGGAGGCAGGGAAGGTATAGGGGAAGCAGTGGATTAGGACTTGCAATGTTTTTCTATATGTTTCCTTAACGTCAACTTCTTTTGCAACATATATTACTTGCATAATAAGAAAAAGACCAAAAAGGAACAAAACCAGAATAGTGTATGATCTAGGCTAGAGAATGTGAAAATTGATTTTAATGACCTGTTTATGGGAAACTGTTTCTTGATTCCTCTCCTTGGCTTCTTAAAACCAGTGACACAGAATGAAAAATACCCTATTTAGAGAGCAGCTATCTTTCAAGGGGGAGAAAAGAAGAAGATATGATTGAGGAAGAACACAAGAGAGCTTCAGAAATGTTGGCAATTTTCAATCCCTTAAGCTTGGTGGTAGCTTTTTGAGTATTTATGTTATTGTTGTTGTTATTATTATTATTATTATTTTGAGACAGAGTCTTGCTCTTGTCACCTAGGTTGGAGTACAGTGGCACGATCTCGGCTCACTGCAACTTCCACCTCCTGGGTTCAAGTTATTCTCCTGCCTCAGCTTCCTGAGTAGCTGGGATTACAGGTGCCCGCCATACTTGGCTAATTTTTGTAGTTTTAGTAGAGTCAAGGTTTCACCATGTTGGCTAGGCTGGTCTCAAACTCCTGACCTCAGGTGATCCACCCACCTCAGCCTAAGCCACACACATACCCTACAATATAAATTGTTCCCTATATTTGGTATTTTCCATAATAAAAATGTAAAAACACAAAAACTGGGCAATATCCACCTATGTATCATAACCTTATCTGTTTCTCCAGATTGATTTTGATAAAGGAAGATACTAATTTGCAAATGGGTTCTCTGGAATACCTTTTCTGGGCCTGGATTGCTTCCTGGGCGATGCGTCTTTCTTCAGCCCTGGCTTTCTCCACAGCTTCGACCTTCTCTCTGTGGCATTCCATCATAATCCTTTGGATTCTGTGGACCATGCGCTGTTCCGCAGCCAAGTGCTCTCTCTTCATTTCATCATCCATGTTTTGATACATCTCTATCTTAGTTTTAGCTGTTATTTCCTGAAACAATAGCAAACTAGGTTTAGCTATTACAGATTTGATGTTTAAAATGGCACATTAAGAGGCTACCTAAGCCACAGTTTTATCTACCTGCTGGCAAGTGTACCTGTTAACACTAAGGATTTAAAACAAGAGTGTGTATGACACGGAAAACTTTTGTTTATATGATGTTAGGTAAAACAAAAAATGTACAAACGATGTAGCACAAATATCTATGTAGATAATATTGAAAGGGAATATGGAAAAAAGAAAATAGTTGGGTTGGAGGGATAGGGTTAAAGGTCTTTTTTTCTTGATTGTCCAAATATTCTAGTATCATATTATCACTAGACATAATTACATAATGTAATTCTGCTTTAGTAAGCCAGACCTGGAAAATGGCAGAAATAATTATCATGCCTCCTGTCTCTGGTTAGGAGGAACCTGAGGTTCAGGTGGAAAACAATTGCACGATGTTACAGTCACAGGAATCTGCCCACCTGTCCCCACACTGTTTCAGCCCTCCAGCTTATTAGTGTTGAGGTGCTCTTTCTCCTTCACAGAAGGGACAGGACTAAGTGCTCCAATGCTCCAGGAAGGAGGCCGTGAGGAGGGCCTTCAGCCAAACAAAGAGAGGAAGCACTAGTCAAACCAAGACCTGTGGAAAACAGACTCACAAACTGTGCTCAAGGAAAGCCCTGTCACCATTTTGGAAATGTCTACTAACTCCACATTGTGCCTGGCACTCTGCGGCCCAGATGCTACAAACACGAGAATGTGGGGATCTCGGTCCTCAGGGAAGTCACTGCCTAGCGGAGGAGGCCGATGACCTAATTGTGTGATACATGTTACAGAAATATAACAGTATGTAGAAATATAACATTATAAAGAGGAGGAGCAATTCATTCTGTCCAGGTGTTTAAAAAACTTTCATTTAAAAGTATTTTTTTTTTTTTTTTTTTTTTTTTTTGAGGAAGGTTCTCGCTCTGTTGCCCAGGCTGGGGTGCAATGGCATGATCACAGCTCACTTCAGCCTCGACCTCCCAGGCTCAGGCAATCCTCCCACCTTAGCCACCCATGTAGCTGAGACTATAGACACTTGTCACCTATGCCTGGCTTTTGCATTTTTTGTAGAAATAAGGGTTTCCCCATGTCACCCAGACTTGTCTTGAATTTCTAGGCTCAAGTGATCTCCCCACCTTGACTTCCCAAAGTGCTGGAATTACAGTCATAAGCCACCATGCCGGGCCCAAAGATAAATGTCTATCTCTATTTGGGAAGACATCAAAAGAACATAGAGAAATTAAGTTATTTCACATAGCACATCAATGAAAGAACTAGGAGGGATAGAAGACAGGATTGCTGACTGCCAGTTTCTCACTTCATTCCTGGCTGTGATGCTGGAGTCTTTCAAGAGATTCATCAATTGTACAGTCTTGTAAGATACAGTACAGTGGGTTTCGTTTCTTTTTCAATAGCTGCAGAATCCCCCCCCCCCCGACCTTTTTTTTTTTTTTTTTTTTTTAATGTAATCTTACCCAGAATGGAAATAAATAAAACCAGTAAGAGTTCCCCTGGCTGAAGATTGCTCAATTCCCTCTAGCACCATTTCTATGGGAGACCCTGAGAGAGCCAGCTCCATTTACAATGTCCAGAGAGAATCTTCAGCTGAAGCTGAGAGAAAGTCAAGAGAACTCTAAATTGCAAGGAAAACTGAAATTGGTTTAGCTTCTTAGAAGATGATTTCAACAATTAAAATATCTGTAAAGACAGACCTTTCTCTTTTTTCAAGAGAAAAAGTGTTCAACTTCTCACTTTGGCTACTTCAAGTGTAAAAAGTTAAAAAATGAAACACAACAGAAATCAACTTTAAGAACCTCTCCAGAGTGGTCTCAGTTCATGTATTTAGAAAATATTTTCAGGAACACATTGGCCATTTAGAAATGCTAGCTGGGTTTCTTATACTGCAGAAGGCTTTGTCTCTTAAATCACTAAAATTTTTTGATAAAAGAATATTTTGAGGAAATGTTTCTAAATGTCTTTAATACCATAGAAAGAACATTATGAAACAATCTAATACTTTCTTGATGATCCAGGCTTGGTAGACAAAGACGAATGATTTTACTGGGCCAAAAACTTCATGTGGCATTTAATAATTGTTCAAGTTCATAGAGCCACTCATATCTGTCAGAAATGACCCCAGATTGCTTTGTTTTTTAAAATTTAATCTTTGCTTTTAATAGGTATCAAATCAAATTTTTCTTTTCTTCAAAGAACAAGAAAATTACTTGCCATCAGGCTGAGGACACTGCTGTAGCTGCTGTCAGTGAGCCCCTTTTTGTTACTTTTACTTTCCAGTATTTAATCTAGTTCCAATTTGAAAAATCAAGCAACCCTGCTGGGTGCAGTGGCTCACGTCTGTAATCCCAGTACTTTGGGAGGTCGAGGAGGGCAAATCCTTTGAGGCCAGGAGTTTAAGACCAGCCTGGCTGCCAGGCCAACATGGTAAAACCCCATCTCTACTAAAAATTCAAAATTAGCTGGGTGTGGTGGTGCACACTTGTAATTCCAATTGTGCACCACCACACATGACTACCTGGGAGGCTGAGGCAGGAGAATCACTTGAACTCAGGATGCAGAGGTTGCAATGAGCTAAGATCACAACACTGCACTACAGCCTGGGCTAGAGAGAGACTCCACTTCAAAAGAAAAGAAAAATCAAGCATCTAAGTCTGTTGGGCTGAGGTTGTCAAGCACAATGACATCTGAGTGGGGTGAAGAGGTTTTGCTACGTGTAATACGCCTGGCTATTCTCTTGTAGTCAGAGGACTTTAACTTTGTAGGGGATATTTTAACTTACTTCTGGGTTTTCAAGTATATTTTCAGTAATTGAGGCTGCTGGGTGGTTGAGCTTAAGACAGGTGAAGTACTACCATAATATATTTCTATTTGAATCAATCATTTTTTTTTCTGTTGAAGAAGAAAAAAAAGCCAATGTCAATAAGGTGGTGTAAGACTGTTGTATGCCTGAACTTTTTTGGTGCTAAGTGATTTTTTCTTTTTAATTTTCAATTTTTGAGGATGCATTAGGTATTTCGATATAGGCAAACAATGTGTAATAATCACACAAGGGTAAATGGAATATCCCTCACCTCAAGCATTTATCCTTTGTTACAAACAATCCAATTAGACTCTTTCAGTCATTTTTAAACATACAATAAATTACTGAATCATAGAATTTAAAAATGACATTCTAGCCCTTCACTTTGGCTGGGTTCTGAAGTAGGTATTCAGATAATTAGAAACTATCTGATTCCTAATTACTAACTAGGAATTCAGGTAATTAAACTCAGTCCCTCTTTTATGTAGTAATAAAATCAAAATCAGTCTACTGCCTCACATAGCATGTGGAATACATATTTAAAGCTCCAAAAATAATTAAATAACCTGCTGTTTATCGGTGTTCTTATTCAATGTAAGGTCTCTCAATTAAATTGTTTTTTACTGAAATGCATCTCGAGTGAGTCAGCCTGTATTTCGAGATATTATAAGACAGTTTCATGGACTCCATCAGGTTAATTGTACAGATGTTTGACAGGCATTTTACACAATGTCTCCCTCAGATGTTTCTCTGAGGTTTCATGACTAGGAATATCTAAGCCTCTCAAGTGCCTGATCTGTCTGTACAAATCAGATGTGATAAATCACAACATTTCTCTCTTTGCATTGGCTGCCAGAAAGCCCAATCAGTGATAATTGCACAGGGCATCATGGCATATATACATTTTTAAGTTTTTAATTTACTTGTGACTTTATTATATTTTCTACTCTAGTTTTTCATTTATTTTTCCCTTAGGTTTCATCTTGATATTATTGTCTTTCAATAACAACCTTTTCAAAAGATTACCTATCCGTCAGATAAGATCTAGAAATCTTATTTAACGGCATGAATTTGAGACAGACCGAACTCTTAACATCATGTAAGAGAAATACATGGTGGTCTCAACGCATCAGAATTTAATATTTGGTTCTAGAGAAACTTGGTTTTCTGCTATATATTGGTAATCTCAAACTTTAAGATGTGTGAGAATCACTTGGGCTGGTGATGGAATCTGTAGGTCAGAGTGAGGCCCAGGAATCTGTGTCAGGCTCCCAAGTGAATAGATTCTGATGCAGGTGGTTCACAGACAGGCCCTGAGAAGTAATACTGATGTCTATGTCTTGGTATCTTACAGACATAACATATTGAAATAACCCTACATACTACTCTTAGAAATCATTCCTTCATAAATTAAAAAATACCTGAAATGGTGGTATAAATGTAAATACCCAATCCCTGGACAAATACTTCAGAAAGGTCGCTCTCCCTTTAACTATTTACCTTTAAATTTTCTTAGGACTTCTTTCTACTGAAGCACTAGGTACATCAACTCCCCTCAAAGGCTATGTGGGGTACATTATTCAAAGAAAGACTAGCATGTGAACCTTGAAACAGGCATCACATCTTCCTTATGCCTTTACAACCTAATGCCAGGAAGGACATTCAAAATGTGTATCAATCAGCACAGTAGGGCCCACCTATCTGAATGGACTTTGGCTGCAGCATTGTAGCAGGGAACTAGAGCTCCTCGTCAAGCCATGAGTTATCCTTTTAAGTTGCTGGATTGGGAGAGGTCCAGGATTCTGTGGGGGAAGCAACTAGGGTGACCATGGTGATAGAGGGCTCAAGTGGGTGACTATTTACCAACTGACAGAGAAGTATTTTAATACCTTAATTGCCAGTATGGCAGTATGGCCATACTTGTACATACCAGCGGAAGAGCAGGCCGCCTAAGCTATGCTGCAAATGCTCTTCACATTTTGAACTCAAACAAGGAATGGGCAGTGGGCCATCACAGCCAATATCCCTCAGGCACCATGCCAACCTGGGCTGAGGTAGGCCACTGGAGTGAAGCAGGGAGCATCTCACTAGCCTTAAGGATCCCTGGGGAGGAGTTCCCCTTCCTGTTAGCAAGTCCTCTCTGGTAGACAGTTCATTTTATTTTACCTGGTACAGATCTAACATATGGTAGGTGCTCCTTGCTGCTATAATGAATAAATTGGCCCACAGTCCCTGAACTGCTTATTATTGTTAAGTTAGGCCAAACTGAAGCCAGACCTCTGTCACTTTCCTCCAGCCTCTGCCCATGTATTGTCCTACCTGTACCTTGTCCTGTCCTGTCCCTCCCTTGGCCAAAATGTGGAAATAGTTCTGTATCTTTTTCCTTTGAGCAGATTTTGTAATCAAGGTATTGAGCTAACAATGAATCCTAGGGTCTCCACCTGCAAGTTTGCAAGTTACCTAGAGTCACGTACTTGAACAGGCTACAGGTTAGTATCCTTCATCTTGTGACATCTTGAGATGAGATTCTCTCTTAAGTTCTTGAGAGAGAGCTAAGATGTTCCTCCTGGCAGTGTAGTAAATGTAAAATTTAGAAAAAAGGATGCAATCAGAGAGCCCAGGAGAAGGAGGAGAACAGCCTACTTCACTTGTTCAACAACTATTTGAGCACCTACTAAGTCAGGGAATTGTGCTGGGCACCAGGGCTAGTCCAGTGATGAGACAGACACCCCTGCTGAAAGCTGCAGTCATGTGGCGGAGTAAGACATTCAACAACTAACCACACAATCATTTATTTAATTACAACAGTGAAGATTGCTATGAAAAAGATCAGGGTGTCATGGACAGCATGTGGGTGGCAAGGCAAGGTTAGTCAGGCAAAGCTTTCCTTGGGAAGTAAGCTAGGGGTTCTTCTTCACTCATTCATCAATGCTCCAGAGAGCTCAGCATCTCTTGTGAGAACCTCCCAAGGTTTCCAGCTAATGGCCATGAAACACCAACCTAGATTTTACTTTTTTTTTTTTGAGATGGAGTTTCGCTCCTGTTACCCAGGCTGGAGTGCAATGGCGTGATCTCGGCTCACTGCAACCTCTGCCTCCTGGGTTCAGGCAATTCTCCTGCCTCAGCCTCCTGAGTAGCTGGGATTACAGGCACACGCCACCACGCCCAGCTAATTTTTTGTATTCTTAGTAGAGACAGGGTTTCACCATGTTCACCAGGATGGTCTCGATCTCTTGACCTCGTGATCCGCCCGCCTCGGCCTCCCAAAGTGCTGGGATTACAGGCTTGAGCCACCGCGCCTGGCTGATTTTACTTATTATTTTTTCTCATTCCCTTGCCAACTTTTTTTCTTTTTACTAATGTAAGTACTTTTAAAAGACAAAGCCACTATAAAAACCTGTAAATCTTTTTGATGTTCCTCTTTCAAAATCTGAATTTCAATTCTGTGTCTTTCATTTGCTTCTTCAAGTGCTTTCTCCACTGCTTGTTTTTGAAGTTCATTAGCCTTTGAAAGAAAGAGTCCATTTATCTATTAATATATCAGAATAAGCACAAAGCAACATGTCTTACTGGGATGTTGGTAAATCAGGTTTTTAAGTTTATTGAAAATTAGCAACCACCATGGAATCCCTAATTTCTTGCCCCATTCCCATCTCAAATGTCTCATAGCAAACTGTCTGCCTTAGCCAGAGATGTTCTAATGCATGCCAATCCATGGCTAGCTTTGCTGTTTCTGGAATCACTAAAGGCAAGTCAGTTTTACTATATGTAGACTGCTGGGTTGCCTTTTCTCTTTGGCACTTTATTTCTTGCTTGATTGACTCTCAAAGTAACATATGTGCATTGTGGAAAATCTGGAAAACATTAAAGTGAAAAGATGCACAAAGCTAGAAGAATCTGAGTAAAGAGGCAGAGTACCATCCAGGTCCCCCGCATCAGGTCTTCGGAAAGAACTTTATTTGAAGAGAGTACACAGAACACTAGATCAACTTACACTTAAATTGCAGACTACTCACAAAAGCATCACCTTGTATTAGGATGTATAATTGATGGTTCACAATCAGTTTGAATTTTACCACTAATAAAAATAGATGACTACAAAGATTTTGAGATAAATCAAAATCTGGGGTATGCAGAAGTGGAGTATTATGTATGTTCAAAATATTTTCATAGTAAGCTTTTGCTGGCATTAATACTGGACAATGCTATTTGCTATAATGTCTATTTTATAAAGAAACTGAGAAACATTGTTCTAAGCACTGTGGCTTGTTCTGCTTTCAAGGAGCTGTAACTCTCTTGAGGAAGTTATTGATGTCATTCTGTGATTGGAAGAAGTGGGGCTGCAGGATTGAAGCTTTGCTTCAGTTTGATGCCTTGGATACCACTGTTGAGCCCTGATATTCAGACTGCCCTTACAGTACTCAGCAGTTGTATGGACAAGGTGTCATGGATTTGGGAGAGAGGGGAGGAAAAGGGAAATAGGCCATAATGACATAATGAAGTATTTGAAAAAACAGGGGTATTACATGCTCCACAAATGGATGGTCTATGTATTAAATGTTAGGCCATAAGAAACAACTATTGACAAGAAGTCTTCTTAGTTCTTTTTTTCTTTTAGTTTTGGTTGCATTCAAATGAGAATAAAGGGAGCGGAGCAGGAGTCCTTCATACACAGGGCAGCTGAGAAGGAAGGAAGCACCTGATGATGCCGGCTTCTTACTGTGTGTGCCAGGCACATTATTTCATTGAATCCTCCCAACTATCCCATAGAAAGAGTACTATTATTACTCTTATACAATGAAGCAAACAAGACTACAGAGGTTGTAGAACTTGCCCACGGTCCCATGGCTAGCCAGGATTCAGTCAGTTCTGACTCTACTATACTACATGATTGTTTCAGAGAAATCCAGAATGTGAAAGAACTGTAAAGATGGTTAGGTTCATGTCTAACTTCTTTTACCTGAGTCCATACTTCAGCTTCTGCTTTTGCAATGCATTCTCTGAGTACATCTTCTTGAAACTGTTCTTCTCTTTGTAGAATATTTGCCCCAATATCTGTGTTTGAAGAGAAACGGTCACAAACCTCCACCAACTGCTTCCTGGCCTTCCTTTCCACTATCATCTAGTCATTTATGAAGGCTGTTTAGGAGATACATCCTTATAGGAGATACCATTATAAATATTTCAAAGATACACATTGAAAGGGTAGGCTTTTCTCTAACTGATTAGGAGGGAATTCACAGCACTGTCAGGCCTGAATAGAGTTGGTCATTCATCTCATCACACCCAGTCCATACAGCAGATAACTGAGGAGGTGAAATAAATGCCCTGCGGAAAGGAACACATTTTGTACACCCAAAGTAGAATGATGAGTGAATATTCAAGAGGTCTTAGCACATTATACAGATCTCTCCCCTTGCTCCTATCTGGGTGTTAGGGTTAGCATCAGAAGAGAGAAAGTGAAATGCCTTCAACATTACATGCCTTTCTTTACTGTGTGGTTCTTTTTGAGTTTAACTGCTTCAGTATGGAGTGAGCTAAGGGGTAAAAGTTTATTGTTTTTCTGCCAGTGATCTAATTTGATTTCCAAATAATATTCCCATAGTAATATCCTCTCTACCCAGGCAAGGTAATGAAAGTCCAGAGAGGTTAGAGGACCACACAGTATCAGCCAGAGAGAGCTTGACCTGGAGCCAAGATCTGAGCTCTCTGAGCTGGGCAAAGGGTCTTTCATCTTCTCCTGCCAGAATGGGTTGTCTGATGTGGCTCATGAACTGTTATGGGAATGACAAACCCTCTGGATGCTGAAATCACACACAGTGATATCTTTCTCCAACCCAAACTCTTACACTCCTTATTCTTTATTCCACTCATTTCTCACATGCTAAATGTGTTGAATTACTAACTTTCCATGTGATTAGGTCTTGATGCTCCATATTCTAAAATTATGAAGCACACTTTATACTGTCGTGTATCTCTGATGGAGCCTAGTTTGGCAATAAGCACAGATAAGACATTTGTGGACATGTGTGTTTGTCTGTCCAATGTCTCCTCTCTCTGGATAACAGGATCCATTTCTGTCAAGAACTTCCCTCCCCAATGTCAGGTAGTTCTGGTGGGACTGCCAATCATAGCAACCTTCTTAGCCCTTTTTACCCTCTCCTCCAGGTCACAATAATTGACCAGGATTGGGCAAATGCTCAAGACTGTTAACTAGGCTCTTGCCAAGGATTTTATATAAGGATGTAAGGAGAACACAGGTCTTTTTCCACTAGGATTTCTTTTCTTTTTTTCTTTTTGAGAGGGAGTCTTGCTCTGTCACCCAGGCTGTAGCACAGTGTTGCCATCTCAGTTCACTGCAACCTCCATCTCCCAGGTTCAAGCAATTCTCCTGCCTTAGCCTCCTGAGTAGCTGGGATTACAGGCATGGGATTAATCATGCCTGGCTAATTTTTGTATTTTTAGTAGAAATAGGCTTTCACCATGTTGGACAGGCTGGTCTTGAACTCTTGACCTCAAGTGATCAGCCCACCTTGGCCTCCCAAACTGCTTGAATTATAGCATGAGCCACTATGCCTGGCCTTCCTCTAGGATTTCTAAGCTGAAGGTAATAGATGTTTTTAAAATTGCATTTTAGGTTTGGGGTACATGTGAAGAACATGCAAGACTGATGCATAGGTACACACATGGCAGTGTGATTTGCAGCCTTCCTCCCCATCACCTATAACTGGCATTTCTCCCCATGTTCTCTCTCCTCAACTCCCCACCCCTTGCTGTCCCTGGTAATAGATTTTTTGAGCTATCTGGATCCATATTCCTCCTTTCCCAGCTGCTGGAGTAAGTCTAGCTGCAGCAATAAACCATTAAGCCAACTTACTAAAGGAGTCAGACAGATTGAAAGCTTTGATGCCAGATCCCCCTTGGGATTCTCACTTAAAAGGGTTAAGAAATTCCATTTTATGTAGTCTATTCTAAGTTATGTTTTTGTCAGTAGCAATTAAAAGTATATGTTTGGTGGCATAGACTCTTTGCTACTACTTCATCAGTGAATCTTAAAAACACAGGGCAGCAAATATGGTGGAGACCGACACATACCGCAAAAGCCCAACATCATGTAGAAATAATCAGAAAAGATTTTCTAGGATGAAATGTGACTAAGCATGGACCATCAATGTGTTGAACCTCATAAAAATGTGATACAAGTGTAAGCTACCACAATCTTCTTTAATGTTTAAATCCCATTACTTTGTATTAGTTGTTCTCAACCCTGATTGCACAACAGGATCCCTGCAAAGCTTTTTAAAAAAATGTACACACTTTAAAAGGAACAAACTATTAATAAACAACTTGGATGAATCTCAAGGGCATTATGCTGAGTGAAAAAAGTCAATTTCAATGGGATTATATAATGTATGATTCTGTTTAGATAGCATTCTCACAGTGATAACATTATGGTGATGGAGAACAGATTAGTGGTTGCCAGGGGTTCAAGTCTGGGTAGAAGAGACAGTTAAGGGGTAACATGAGGGAGTTCCTTTGAGGTGATGGAACAGCTCCATGTTATGATTGTGATAGTTGTTACATTAATATGTACATGTGATACAATTCATAAAACTCTATGCCAAGGGGGAAAAAAAGTATACATAAGGTCTGTACCGGAATTAATAGTATTGTTTCAATGCCAATGTCCTGGCTTTGACAAAGTACATGATTATGTTAGATATCAATGGAAGCTAGATGAAGAGTACAGGGGAACTCTGATCTATTTTATAACTTGTGAGACTTAAACTATCTCAAAATAAAAAAGGTTATTTAAATGTAAACGAAAAAATACACACACTTAGTCCTGACTGTAGAGGTCCTAATTTAGTGGCTCTGTGTTAGATTAGCATTAAATTCAGTGGGTCTGTGTTTGGATATCTGTGCTAATATATTTTCAAAGTTCTATATAATGCACTGCTAAGATGAGAACTACTGTCCTATGAAATACTTAGTAGCTATGGACATTTCAACGTGCTTTTGAGCTTACTTATAAAGAACAGATAGTTTTGACTTTTTAAAAAACTTAAAACAGTTCGATAACAAATAAAGGCCACTGAATAGAAAAGATTAATTTCTAACGATAGATTTAACTTATCCATTTAAGGTTTGGGTTAGATATTCCATAAGGCATAAGGAATCAATCATTAAGGTGTATCTAAGAATGGAGAAACACTGTCTTGGCTATGAAAAGTCAAGTCACTTTAGAGATTATAATGAATCATTCATACTAAGCATTTACTAAATGCTAAAAAAAAATTTTAGTGTTTATGCTTTTAGAATATGATTCCAATTTGATCTCCCTCCTATATTTTAGTTTTTTTCCCCAAACACCTCTGCTCTTCAACTTTTCATATTTTCAAATATCACGAGTGAAATAAAATCATCCTTCGTTTACCATTTTAAAGGAAGAGAGGATCAGATAAGTATTTTGACAGTCTTTAGGAAAATACTTACAAGGTTCAAGGTCAGATTGAAAACTCTTATGGGGATAAAAGAGAGACAGAAAGCTATAGTACAATTTGATTTGCTTATGTATTATATATACATATGTATGCACAGTAAATGCTCTCATGTTATCTATATGTAACTACTTTCATGCCACCAGCTACTACTTAAAGGTTATAGTTTCTTTTACCCATTTATTGGGATTTTTTTTTTTTTTTGAGGCAGTCTTGCTCTGTCACCCAGGCTGGAGTGCAATGGCATGATCTCAGCTCACTGCAACCTCTACCTCCTGGGTTCAAGTGATTCTCTTACCTCAGCCTCCCAAGTAGCTGGAATTACAGGCACGTGCCACCACACCTACCCAATTTTTTTTTTTAGTAGAGACAGGGTTTCACCATGTTGGCCAGGCTGGTCTTGAACTCTTGGGCTCAAGCAATCCACCCACCTTGGCTATCCAAAGTGCTGGGATTACAGGCACAAGCCACCATGCCCATCCAATTAGGGTATTATTTAGAGATAATATTTCCTCTCCTACACATACTGAAGGTGCCCAAGTATGGCCAAGGGCAAAATGAACTCACATTTACTATTATGTGTCAGGATTTATAATAGATAATTATAAATACTTCATTAAAGTATCCTAATAACCTGTAAGATAGGTATTAATATCTTTATTTCCATATAAGGAGACAAACTCAGAGGCTAAATACGCTGCCCAATACACACAACTGTAAGTGGAGAAGCTGTATTCTAACCCATATTATTTTTAAACATCCCTGTAGGGACAAGAAAGATGAAGAGAATAAAGCTGATAAAAGTCTATGTAACAGAAAGAATGAAGGCTATAAAGTGTTAGAACAAAGGAAAACAATAAATTCACTTACCTAGTATGTCTTTGTGAGTGTAAAAGCGTGTCTTAAGTGGCTTGTATTCATGGATCCGTGTGAAGGTGTTTCCAAAAGGGGCTGGTGGAATTATTTTATTACAAACAGCACAGCAAACAAAGTTTGTATAATCTGAATTTCTGATCATAGTTAAATATTGTATGTCTTCTCCTATTTACAGTTAAAATAATCTTAGAATCAGAAAAAGATGTTTCAAGAAAAGCTGAAAGTTTGAGAAAGCTGGAAGAGATTCAGGGTTTTAGGATAATGCTAGAGGCTAGTAAGGATTAAATGATTCACATGATTAGGCAATGGTTATGTGCCTAACATTAAAGAATGGTACTAAAAGCCCCTGTCATAGGAGGTATGGGCACCAGATTTGGGAAGATTTAAGCAGCTGCTCCTTCCCAGACTCTAGCATTAAATTGTTAACTTACTTAGCAACTGTTGCTAGATAAGACAAGCTTTGCTCATAAAAGCAACTTCAAACAATGACAAAAGGGAACATGATACAGCCATTCATTTTCCAGATACTTTCTATATTAGTTTTCTATTGCTGCTGTCTTACTCTGTTTTCTGTTGCTTATAATAGAATACTTGAAACTGGATAGCTTATAAAGGAAATTATTTCTTACAGTTTGTGGAGGCTGAGAAGTCCAAGGTGGAGGGGCTGCATCAGGTAAGAATCTTCTTGATGGTGGGAACTCGCTGGGGTGGTACAGGGTAAGACATGGCCAGGGGCTGAGCTCACATGCTAGCTCAGGCCTCTCTTCCTCTTCTCATAAAGCCACCAGTTCTCTTCCCATGAGAATCCATTAATTCCTTAACCTGTGAATAAATTCACTCACCTCTTAAAGCCCCCACTTCTCAATATTATCACTTTGGGGATTAAAGTTCAGCATGAGTTTTGCAGGGGACAAATATTCAAATCATAGCACCATTGTGACAAACTAAAACTAACGTCATGGCTTAAATGTTACACAAATTTATCCTCTTGCATTTCTGGATATCAAAAGTCTAAAATGAGTGTTAGGGACTAAAATAAAGTTGTTAGAAGGGCTTGTTCCTTCTGGAGGCTTCAGAGGAGAATCTGATTCTTTGTCTTTTCCAGCAGGCCATTCATATTCCTTGGACTCATGGCCTCTAATCATACAGTCTTTTCTCCCCGTGCTTCCATGGTGACACTGTCTCTTCCTCCGATCTTCTGCCCTGCTTTAAGGACCTTCGTGATTATACCAGGCCCATCTAGTTAATCCAGGATAACCTCCCCGTCTCAAAATCCTAAATGTACCCATATCTGTAAAGTCCCTTTTGCCATATAAAGTAACATATTTACAGGTTCTAGAGATTAGGATCTGGACATTTTTGCAGGAAAGGAGAGTATTAGTCAGGCTACTATACTTTCTCTTAAATGGGTTTTTAAAGAATTAATTTTGTTTAAGGCCAACAATGGAGGTAGATTAATTTCTTTTAGGTATTTAATAAATGTGATGTTTTGGTGCCACGGCAATAAAACTGGGATATATCATGGTATCCGGAAGGAGAAATTACTTTCACTTAGTCAGCATTCTAAATTATGAAACCTGGTTTTAAAAAATCACAGTTAACTAATTTCTTCCTACAATTTTAGAAAACAGCCATAGAAATTCTGCCTATCACAAAAATCTGTGCAACTGATTACGCCAAGTCATTTTTTAAAATTGCCTGACAATGTCATATGCTGCATCTATTTGGGAAGACTGTTTTATAATAAGTGAATGCCATCAGTGAGATTAATTTCAACAACATGATTCCCATAGGGCCCTGAGCTAAGTGTACCACAAGTTACGCTATAATTTGTATTGACATATACGGCCTGATAACTGGCTGATGATTTTAAGTAACTATCAAATTGTGCCAGGTTTGATTTCAAGAAAAGGGTTAACTGGGACTTGGAGAGGAGTTAAAAACAAAGAGATGAATTTGTACTGAGAATGGGGACTACCGTGTACACACAGTTTGTCATCTGGATTGAGAACTGAGGCTACTTGTGCCAATGACTTTCCTATGTGTTACTAGAAATTCTTGCCCAGATGGGAGGGTAACTAACTGGCCTTGATTTGCCTGGGACTGTCCCTGTTTTAAAACTGAAAGTGCTGAACTGTCTTAGTGTCTGGCAAATTGGAAGAGTTGGACCCCCTATGGAAGATAGGGCTATAAAACCAATAAATAATTTCAGTGTTTGCCTTAGGAAATCCTTGAAAACCAATTTATCAAATGGATAGCTTGCTGATCTAGGCAAACAGCTCTTCCATCAAAACATGAGATTACTCCCCTAGGCAAAGTTAAATGTTCACTTAACATTTATCAAACAGTAGTTTACTAATCAAGACTTGCTTCAAGATCTCATCTGTTATGTCAGATACCTTGCCCATTCTCAACCAGTTTCCTGCATTGGAAGATCCTTCTTTAATCACTTGAACTCAGATCTCAGAACACTTTAATATCTTCCCCTGACCACTCCTTCTTAAATACAGCTAACTTTGTAAAAGTGGTATTTCCCCTTAGTGCAGATTTAATAAGCTTAGTTTTGTCTGATCATCTGGTTGTTCTGATGGTCTTTTGGCGGAGCTGGCAGTTAAATAATTCTGTTTTAAAGTACAGGAGTGTTTCTCTACTTAAGATTTAAACCTATTTCTAAGGGCTAATGTGGCTGCTTTATTATTATGTGGACATTTACACATAGGAGGTGGTATAGTATGGTGAAAAGATCCCTAGACTTTAGAGCAAGAAGATATGGGTTCCAGTCCTTTCTGAGAATCACCATGATCTTTGGTAGATCTCTTGGCCATTCTCAGACTACTGTCTTTTTTTTTTTTTTGAGACGGAGTTTCGCTCTTATTACCCAGGCTGGAGTGCAATGGCGCGATCTCGGCTCACCACAACCTCCGTCTCCTGGGTTCAGGTAATTTTCCTGCCTCAGCCTCCTGAGTAGCTGGGATTACAGGCACGTGCCGCCATGCCCAGCTAATTTTTTGGATTTTTAGTAGAGACGGGGTTTCACCATGTTGACCAGGATGGTCTTAATCTCTTGGCCTCGTGATCCACCCGCCTCGGCTTCCCAAAGTGCTAGGATTACAGGCTTGAGCCACCTCGCCCAGCCTAAGGCTACCGTCTTAACCATAAACTGACAGGATTGGATCAGGTGAAGTTCAATGTTCAGAATCTTCGGACTATTTAAAAGGTGTTTTATTTTTGATGGCTATACCCTAATTCAACAGAGAAAGGATGAAAATATCAACACATAGCCAGGCAGCCTTTGACACTCGGCATACACAAAGACTGTCCTACAACTTGTAGCCACTCTGTAAAAAGTATCATAGTTAGGTAATTGTTCCTAAAATTCAATATGATTCTCTCCTCACACTACTTTTCACAGCTCTGTGCTTGACTGACTCTAGTTACTCTGGTTCATTCACATACACGTTACATGACTTAAGGCTGTACCTTGTATAGTTTCTGCTGCCCTTCTGCCCTGCACTCTTTTGATAGTTCACGCACCTAATACCTCCTCTGCCACCAAACGTCAACTTATTCTGTTGAATAGTTAAAAATTCTAAAAGGTACCAATGTAACATTAAATGCATAAGTTAAAAACAGAAGAACCCTAGTTCTGTGGCAACCAAAATACATAGGGAAACCAAAATCAAAAGACAATCTTTAAATGAAAAGGCATTTTGTTTCAGTGAAGTGCATTTTAAACTATATGAAGTACCTTATACAGAGAGGAATAGCAAATAAATATATAAATATTTGGGGCTCAGTAGTAAAGATTTTATTTAGTTCCATGTAAACTCAATTAATTTTTAATATTTACAAATCACATGTAATTACAATTTCATGTACCTTGCAAAACCACAATAAAGTATGACAAATTAAAAATAGCATTATGATAAACTCTACTTGTGCTGTTATTATTACTTGGAAATATTAATAACAACTGAAGCAAAACTTCAGAGGTGAGATTTACTACTGAGGCCCAATTACAACAAATTGGAGAATTAGGTATACATCTAGAAATGAAACAGGTCCAGAACCCTTGTGAGAAAGATTTGAATTCTATAAGGCAGAATCTGGCCAGACATAGGGACCAAGCCTTGACCTCTGTCCTAGGTCCCTGGGCCAGGTGCCAGGACAGCCAAGGCCTTTCTGCTGCCTGCCTCCAGTGGGTGCTGATTATGGGGCTGGGCTTTGTTTAGACTCATTTGTAGCCTCATTTCTGTCCCCACTTCCATTAAAGAATGCTTCAGAGAATAAGAAACATTCTGAAAAGAAAAAAACAAAAAAGTCTGCTGGCATATAAACCTCAAAAGAAAAATAAAATTTGTAAGGTAAACCTGGTACAATAAGGAGACCTTATCTATTTCTTATCTATTGAGTAGTTCTAGTTTTTAAATTAACTGTAAGTATATTTGGTCTTATGTTTATAACAGGTAATATTTAGTTATGGTCAAAAACATCATACCTCATTATAACATACTTTTTTTAAAAAAAAAACCTCCAATTACTCTGGGATATTATTTTATTTAATCTTTATTTTAGTAGCTGAGTGGAAGAATCTTTTTAATTAAAATAAAATTCTGGGCCAAAAATAGCTAAAATAGAAACTGAAATATATGAACCATTTGTGACACTATAAAAACTACTTGTCAGAGCCAACTCAGTTTTTCATATCTCATATTTTTAATACTGACCTTAGGCTTTAAAATTTCTATTTCTCTTTCTTTAAAAATGTAAGTTCTACGCCAGGAAGAACATGGTTATTTTGCAAATAGCAAAATACAACTAAACTCTCATGACAGTTGCACCAGCGTAATTAACTTAAAATATTTAAAACATCATGCAAATTTAACAGCATGGTACTTTCATTATACAGAATTTAATAATTAACAAAAACAACTTCTATTCTCATGGCACTTTTATAAGAGGATTTAAGGAAAGGAAAATATTATGAAGCTTACTCTGTGGAAAAAGAATGAGATAATGGCTGCAGCTGTGAAAGGACAAAATTTATGACAGTTGTACACTTGCAATTGCTATCTTCTCTCTTCATTAGCATATTCTAGAACAAGAAACATGATACTGCACACTCATAAAGTCTTTCCGTTGAAGATTTCAGAGCCCTTAATAAAGATCCATCTGCAGTAACCAGCACTACTAATCCCATTTAGATGTTTTCCGCCTCATGTAACTGTGCCCCTCACTATCAATAGCTTCATAGAGGTCCTTCTTATTCTCTTGTGTTGCATGTAGATAACCAATATATGCCACGCAAAGTGAAAGAGTTACCAATCCAAAAGCCATTACAGGTTTGTTCTGTCAAAGAAAAAAAAATTATAAAGCTTTATTAAGGCTAACAATTTGAGGAGACTCAAATAGCAGTTGCACTTTCCTCCTGACATGCCACATCTTTATTACAAAACTAGCATAACCATGGCAATATTCCAATTATAATCATTTATTCAGTTCTTTATTCAATTAGCTAAACTACTGATTAACTAGAGATTATAGAAGACTCTTGCTTCTCCTCTCCAGTCTTCCTCCCATCTGTACTCTGAACATCTCAGACCTCTACCTTCAGGAAGGTGACAGCTGGGAAAGGACTGGGCCAGGAGAACCTGTCAGGGAACTTCTGAGTTTTCAGTGTTGAAGTGGAGGAGCTGCTTAACCTCCTGGGTCCTGGGCCCAAGTCTCTCATTTGCAAACCTCATTTTATTAGGAAGTGAGGAATGAAGTACACATGCTATTCTTCTTGCCCAAGTCATAAATAACTGGCAAAAATCCTCTTATATATTAGGCACAGAGATAATGATACACTCTTCACTGGGAACCTACTCTATTACCTCAAGAAATTTAGTGATTGGAACAGTTATTATGCTGTTAACCTTGATTTACTCTTGGACAATCCAAGGCCCTAAGAGGCAAAGTGATGCTTTCAGTTTAAAACCCACACACAGTAAAGCTGTGTTGTTGTTGTAGTTGTTTTTAAGAGACAGGATCTCACTCTGATGCCCAGGCTGGAGTGCAGTGGTACAATCACAGGTTACTGCAGTCTCAAACTCCTGGGCTCAAGTGATTTTCCTGCCTCAGGCTCCCAAGTAGCTGGGACTACATGTGTGCACAACCGTGCCTGGTTAATTTTTTGTATTTTAAATAAATACAAGGTTTCACCATGTTGGCTAGGCTGATTTCGAACTCCTGACTTCAAGTGATCTGCCCGTCTTGGCCTCCCAAATTGCTGGGATTAACAGGTGTGAGCCACTGCTGGCCGGTCCAATTTTAAATTTTTTTGTGGAGATAGAGTACCATTATGCTTGAACTCCTGGCCTCAAGAGATCCCTCTACCTCAGCCTCCCAAAGTATTGGGATTGCAGGCAGGAGTCATGATGCCCAGACCAAAAAAAAAAAAAAAAAAAAAGCTTTTAAATATAGGAAAGATATTCACAACTCCAGAGAAGTATTTTATGTATTAACTTTGTTATTCCTGAAACTGTACCTTAGACCCTTTTCTTCGCATGTTCACACTCAAGAATTGATCTTTCTTAGGTCAATGTAAATGCACAGTAGTGATACAAATAATAGTTTCTGCTTCTGTCACCATACCTGCTGTACCACTACTGAGAAAGAAAAGAAACTCTTTAACTGAGGAATGTAAGCCCCCTTTAAATTACCAGGCTCAGAGAGGCATTAGAATGAGATAGTAATCACATCTTGAGCTAAGTAATAATTCTGAAGTGCTTGCTATGTGGGTTCTGGACTGACACCACCAATAAGCTATGCACTAACCTTACAATGCCATCCACTAGACATCATAACTTATACCCTATAGTTCAACAATGCATAGTCATTACTAATCAATATCATTTCTGCAAACCAATGAAAATTACTGAAAAGCAACTTTTGTACTTGCCCCCTCTCCTGATTCATCTTTTTTCTTAAAAACTCCAGCCTCTCCTTTGTTCTCCAGAGCACTTCCCAAGGTTACTCTGAAGTGTTTCCCAGGCTGCAGTCCTTAATGTTGGCCCAAATAAACTTTCTACCTATATTAATTTGCCTCAGTTTCTTCCTTTAAGTGACATTTCTATTTCAAATCTTAATCACAAAAGAATAATTGTCAAACTTTTTCACTTAGATGAATACCTAAGAAAGAACATAGACTAAACAGTTTCAATGTACAATTCTTGAAATGCTTTTAGCAATTAAAAAAACACATTAGTTCAAAGCCTTTAAAATATTTTACCTTGATTTAATGATCTGATTAAGTTGACCTACTTAGCTTTAAAACAGTTTACACTGCTAACTGTTAATAAAATTCTAATCAGATTCAATACACTCAAATATTTATATTTTAATTTGATTTTATGTTTATTTTTAAATAGTATTTACATTTATTTAAAAATAAACTTCAGCCAGATGGGCATGGTGGCTCATGCCTGTAATCCCAACAATTTGGGAGGCTGAGGTGGGAGAATCGCTTAAAGCCAGGAGTTGAAAACCAGCTTGGGCAACATAGTGAGACTCCATCTCTACAAAAAATTTTAAAAATGAGCCAGGCATAACAGTGTGCACCTGTAGTCCCAGCTACTCTGGAGGCGGAGGTGTGAGGATCACCTGAGGCCAGGAGTTTGAAGCTGCAGTGAGCAATAATTGCACCACTGCACTACAGCCTGGGTGACAGAACCTCTAATAAGGAAATAAATACATGAATTTCATCAAATCAAATGTTTTGGAATTTTTCACAAAGTATCTGTAATATTGCTTAGATAAAAACATTACCTACTGACTAGAATTGCAGTCTGTAAGAATGGTCATACCTTCATTTTGGTTTCCTTGCTTAAACAGAAGGTCTCATTTACCTTATAGTAACTAATCAAACAACAAAAGTTGTCTTCAAATTAATGCAACTAATAAAATAGTACTTTAGATAGTTTGAGAGGCCGATCCATTAAAGTACAACCATTTTCTTAAAATATCCTTAAAATATTTACTTTCAAATGCCCTTAAAATATTTACTTTTATTAATGTGTATTTATATGTGAAACAACATTTTCAATCATCCTTCACCTGCTTTTATTCAGAGAAGTCTTATTTGTCAACATAAAATTTCCAGGATAAAACCAATTACAAGAAAACAAGAACTTTCTATTTCTGACAGTCTGGTTGGATTAAACATAAAGTCTTATCTTGGACGTATTTCTTACAGGTTTAATGAAGAGCTCTGGATTCACAGCACGAAATAAGGTTGTTGTGCGCACCCCTCTGAGCCCTGGGCTTTCAAAGTCTTTCTCTTTGGGTGCTTCTCTTTTGAATGTTGGAGGCTCAGGTGCTGAAGACATCTTGATCAATGATGATTTATTATACCTAAAAACAAAACGACATGTTTTTTCCCTTCATAACTGTGCTTCTCTAATAAATTTATTTAAAAAGTCATTTTTTTAAATCATGCATGTTGCAGGGAATAAAAAATCATTCTTAAATTATTTATTTGAATTCTAACCCAGATAAATACCAAATGTGATTGTCAATTATTTTATTACTTCATATAATGCACTTTGTAAATGGTGCTTTAATTTGATAATTTCATTCATTATTTTAATTTTCATCTCAAAAGAGGTGGGCAAATGCTGTTTTCCTACTTTTCAACTGGTCTGAGTCACATCATATCACATGAAACCAGGACTAAGAGTAGGTGAGGCCAGTAGGTTATCCATTCCCTTCATTTCCTTGTTTTCCTGCTTCCTCACCTTTCAACAGCCCCTCCAGAACACCAACCTGAGGAAAGGACCAGCATTCCTTTGCTCATTGTCTTCTCCTACAGATTCACTCCTGGCCAGTTTTCCCCACTGCTCCTCTTTCTTCCTCCACTAGCCCACCGACAAACTCATTTTCCCAAGCAGTGATAAGGAGCTGTTTGTACTCACTTCTCCTTTGCCAATCAACAACTTTCTGCTAGGACATGCCCTGCTATCTCCTTAATCTCAATATCCTTTTTTATCTTAGTTACTCTAAATCTATCCTATTAAATCCAAGTGTGTCTTCTGACTTCTTGTTTTCCTAGCTGAAATGTCAGCACTTTGGAAGCATTTTTCTCTTCTAGGTATTATTAGGCAAAAGCTTATTCTTATCATCTTTGCCCACTGTACAGTAAATGTTATAAAAGAGCCAAACATTCATATTTAAACACATGTTGGAGCTTTGTTTGTACAAGTATTCTTTTTTTTTTTTTTTTTGAGACAGCCTTACTCGATTGCCTCGACTGGAATGCAGGTGCAGTGCCACAATCATAACTCACTGCAACCTGCAGCCTCGAACTCCTGGGCTCAAGTAATCCTCCCACCTCAGCCTCCCGGGTAGCTAGGACTACAGGCATGTATCACCACACCTAGGTAACTATTTGTGTGTGTGTGTGTGTGTGTTTGTAGGGAAAGGGTCTTGCTATGGTGCTCAGGCTGGTCTCAAACTCCTGCCCACAAAGCAATCCTGCCTCTGCCTCCCAAAGTGCTGGCTCGTAAGCATGAGCCACGACAACTGGCCAGTACAAGTATTCATTAAGCTATTTTATAGACTTTATAAAATCAATATTTACACAGTTTTGTAGTTAAGTAAAAAACTAGGAGCTTGCTTTTTCAAAATACTTTGTGTTACAGTAGTCATCTAAATATACATCTATACCACTTAATTGGGTATGTACCTCAAGAGGAACATCTGCTTGAAGAAAAAGGAATGCTCCAGACACTTTCTACACTTGCAAAGACTTCAGAAATGTTCGCCATTGCTGGTTCTCTCACTTATTCCTCATGCATATTATGCTCATCATTGTTGCCTTCTTCATTGACATCACCATGGCTTTCTGGTTCAATTTTTACATCAGTTAGCACTCCTGTAGCAACTTCAGGATTTGATAACTTGGGAAATAGTTAAATTACTATCTGTAGCCACACCGTCTTCAAAATCAAACTGGTTTGGGACATCAATGACAGTAGCAGTTGACTGCTAGATTGGTTTCAAACACCATGTTTGGCTGCAGTCTTCTTCCAGGAAGACCTCAGGAGATTCCACAGGAATCATGTCTGTTTTCTGCTAACACTTCATGACTGAAGATAACTTCATAGACCACCAGATCTCCACAATCATGTCGATAGCTTATTCACATTGCTTTTCTCCGTTTTCTCTTCATCCTTTACATTTAGAAAGAGTTGTTCCAGCAACTGCTTTCAGAAGTGAGCTTTCAGTGTGCCAATTTTACCCTGATCCGATGACTATGTAGTTCAATGGGAAAAACTCAACCCATGCATGATCCAAGTGTGGGAGTATGTTGTGGGCAGAGCAATTGTCTATCAGCAAGAGGATACCGTGTATTGCTCCTTGCACTCCGTTGTCAATCTTTATCAGCCAAACACATTTCTCATTATTCAGGCATGTGTATTGGCTTGGTAATCACGGGGGAACATTTCTGAAGCACTGAGAGTTAGCTAACTTGCCAAAAATGATTGTTCCAGAATGCATTACAGTAGAATACACCAATCATCAATCTCTGTTTATTTCCTTTGCAAAGTCTACCTTTGGCAGGCAGCATATGATAAGGTAACAAGGACACCTATTTCATTAGCATTTAAAACTCCATTCAGGCTTGGCAAGGTGGCTCACACCTGTAATCAGTGTTTTGGGAGGAAGAGGTAGAACTGCTTGAACCCAGAGTTTGAGACCAGCCTGGGCAACATAGCTAGACCCTGTATCCAAAAAGAAACAAACAGACAAGCCATTCGATCTATAATCAGCAATTTGTTTTTGTCTTAAAATTTCTCCTGCACATAAGTTAATAATTTTCTCTACTGAAACTGTTTTCTTCACTACAGGCAAGTTGTCAAACAATTCCAGAATACACCTGAAGTTTGTTCAGGCAGCCTGCACTTGCTTGAAACTCATCATGCCTAATAAGGTCTGGATGTTTGTCCCCTCCAAATCTCAAGCTGAATTGTAATTCCCAGTGTTGAACTGTAATCCCCAAGATTGAAGGTGGAATCTTGTGGGAAGTATCTGGATAATGGGGGTGGATCCCTCATGAATGGCTTGGTGTCATCCTTGTGGTAATGAGAGAGTTCTCACTCTGAGTTCACGTGAGATCTGGCTGTTTAAGAGTATGACACTTCCTCCCTCCCCTCTTGCTTCCTGTCTCACCATGTGACATGCCTGTTCCCACTTCATCTTCCAGAACTGAAAGCTTCTTGAAGCCCTCACTAGGGGCAGACGTTGGCACCATGCTTCCTGCACAGCCTGCTGAACTGTAAGCCAATTAAATCTCTTTTCTTTAAAATTACCCAGCATTAGGTATTTCTTATAGTGATGCAAGAACAGACTAATGCAATTCCCAAGGTTGGCAAAAATCCAATGCTTTCTACAGCATAGTTAGGTGCCCATTTCTTGCATGAACCCAATACCATGCAAAAACAGTGACAAAAGAGACCACACATTCACTTTTGCTTTTGTCCTAGAAACCCTCTTGAAATGTTCTCTTCAATCTTGGCTCAATTTTTTAAAACTGTGAACAGGAGGTGTAGTGGTGTTAAATTCCTTTGCTATTTCTCCTGTCTTGTGGCAGCAATCTACTGCTTCTACTACCATCATTTTTTTCTTCTAATAAGTACTACTGGTGTTTCATCTTTCTTCTCTTAGCCATAATGGTATTTATAAATCATGATGGGTTTATAAATATTATTTAGAATTTAAGTAACAAATGTTGGCTACCAGGTGCCTATACCAGGTGTCAATCATGTTTCTCCCTGTGCTTGTTTGAGTATAAATGTGGGTGCTATAGTTTGGATGGTTGTCTCCCAAACCTCATGCTGAAATCTGATCTCCAATGTTGGAGGTGAGGCCTAGTGGGAGGTGTTTGGATCATGGGGGTGGATCCTTCATGAACAGACTACTATCCTCCCTGAAGGAGGGAGGGGATCAAGTGAGTTCTTACTCTATCAGTTCCCTGGAGAACTGGTTGTTAAAAAGAGTCTGGCACCTCCCTCTCTTTCTAGCTTCCTCTCTCTTACCATGTGATTGCTGCACACACCTGATCACTGTCACCTTCCACCATGAGGGGAGGCAACCTGAGCCCCTCACCAAAAACAGATGCTGACACCAAGCTTCCTGTACAGCCTGCAGAACCATAGTTCCTCAGAGCATAGTTTATCACATATACTTTGTGTGGATGATAATGTGCCATGAATTGAGGATTGATGAACTCACCCCACAACTGATGTCCAAAATTATATAAAATTATGTTATATATAATTATATATTAAATTTTTATAGCATATATAATTAACATAATTATATATTAATGATTTATTGGAATATACAATTTACATTATATATTATTACTCTATATGCTTTATATACTCACCTGGAGTATATAAAATTATATACTGTATATAATTTTGGATTTCAGTTGTTGAGTGAGTTAATCATCCCCCCAGGGAGGGCATTAATCTATTCACGAGGGATCCGCTGACATTCGTGTGTGCGTGTGTGTGTGTGTGTGTGTGTGTGTGTGTGTGTGTGTATGGGAGGAGGCGAGAAAGAGACAGAGAGGCTAGTTAAAGCTAACAAAAATGTCACTATTTTATAATTAAATGGATGCAATGATGCTGTTATGAAATTCAACCTATATGAAATATGTCTGTAAAAAACTACATAGTTATATAGTATTCTAACACTAATTGTGATAACTTAATTTTAATTGTAAGATTGCTTTGTCTCCTTTTTTCCTTAGCAGAATCTATATTTCTTTTGTAATGAATCAATAAAATAAGCAATCAGAGTAGTACTTGCTATATTGCAACTCCCAGACACCCACATTTACCTTAATAATTCACTGTTTATGTTCAACTCTTTGCTAGAAATGACAAAGAATATTTGGACTAGAAACTCACATGTATATTTTAAAAGATTTAATATACCACAATTTCACTGTTATTGACACTTCCTGGAAAGTATAAGAATAACATTTTCTATTATTTATCATTCTTTTATTAGAAGTGTGATAAAACAGCTCAGTTTTATTGCTGCTTCTCCTTTATGAGCCACAGTCACTGATGTTATGATTCTCCCAAAATTGCATGAACTTATTTATACCATCTATCAAACTAAGAATTTTTAACAAGTATCTGTACTTTGTTAAAAAAAAAAAAATACAGGTTACTGAGACCAAAAGGGTCTTAGCAGCCAAGAATTTGTTATATGTAACTAAACTTAAAAAACAAACAAAAAAAAACCCCTGCTCTTTAAATAGGAGAAAATTCTTCTGTGTTTCTTCACATGCTGGATTATAGAGGTGTACAGGCATGGCTGAGGCAGAAATTTAAGATGTGCCAGTTGAATAAATAAAACCAGTAGAATTCAAAACCTTAGTCATTTCTTCACAGCTGTGTAAATTGTTTTCGGGAAAACAAATCTGCATTTTAACAAGCAAACTTTTAATCTTGAAGTTAAAGCTGACTAGCTATTTTCATGTACAGAACTAATATAAGTTCCATTTTTAAAAGCTGCAGAACTAATCATAAGGTTAAAGTATGGCAATAACTTATTCTGACATTACCACTCATGTGAACTGTACCTAATACAAAACCAGTTAATGTCTAGCACACTTCCATCAGAACTTTCTTAGTCTTCCCACTAGTTTCTCCACCTTCTTCCCTTACTCTTTTTGTTTCCACTGGAGCTGTCACTCATTTATTTACTGATGATATTGGCCAATCTCTATTTATTATCACTTTGCAGATCTATTTATTTTTAAGCTAGATTTAAAAACCTCATTTACTGTGTTAAAACGGTAATCACATAAAACGTACAGAGAGAGATCCAAGATGGCTGATCACTAGCAGCTCGGGATTGTAGCTCCCAGTGAAAGCGCAGAGAACGAGAGGATGCCACATTTTCAGATGAATTTTTTTGCTCACATACCAGGAGATTCCCAGCGGAAGAGCCCCACAGGTTGCCAGCGTGACTCTTGTGGCCGGGGAGGCAGTTTTGCCGCTGCCTTGGTGCAGCAGTTCTTGGTGCAGAGTTAGAAAAGCACCATCAATCTTAACGCTGCTGTTTTGGCTGGTGCAGTGGGTTGCTCAGATTTTAGTGCTGGGAATCAACAAGTTGGACGTCCACTCAGAAACCCAACTATAAAGACGGTAATTATAAAGACCACAGATGGATAAATCTATAATGAAGGGAAGAAACCAGCCTAAAAAGGCTGAGAATACCCAAAATCAGAACGCCTCTCCCTCTCCAGGGGATCACAGTTCCTCATCAGCAACAGAACAAGGCCTGATGGAGAACGAGTGTGTTCCATTAACAGAAGTAGGCTTTAAAAGGTGGTGGATGATAAGAAACTTCTGGGAATTAAAATAACTTGTTCTAACCCAATGCAAAGAAACTAAGAACTTTGAAAAAAGGTTTGACAAAATATTAACAAGAACACACAATTTAGAGAGGAATATAAATGAATTAATGGAACTGAAAAACACAACACAAGAAATTCTTGAAGTATGCACAAGTTTTAACAGCCAAATTGATCAAGCAGAAGAAAAGATATCAGAGGTCGAAGACCAACTTAATGAAATAAAAGAAGAAGACAAGATTAGAGAAAAAAGGATAAAAAGGAATGAGCAGTCTCCAAGAAATATGGGACTATGTGAAAAGACCTAATCTACGTTTGATAGGTGTACCTGAATGTGATGAAGAGAATCAATCCAAGTTGGAAAATACGCTTCAGGATATTATTCAGGAAAATTTTCCCAACCTAGCAAGACAGGACAATATTCAACTCCAGGTAATAGAGAGAACACCACAAAGATATTCCTCAAGAAGACCAACCTCAAGGCACATAATTGCCAGATTCACCAGGGTTGAAATGAAAAATACTGAGAGCAGCCAGAGAGAAAGGTCAGGTTACTCATAAAGGGAAGCCTATCAGACTCACAGCAGATCTCTCAGCAGAAACCTTACAAGACAGAAGAGAGTGGGGGGCAATATTCAACATCCTTGAAGAAAAGAACTTTCAACCCAGAATTTTACATCCAGCCAAACTAAGCTTCATAAGTGAAGGAAAAATAAAATCTTTTGTGAACAAACAAGCACTCAGAGATTTTATCACCAGCAGGCCTGCTGTACAAGAGCTTCTGAAAGAACCACCACACATGGGAAGGAACAACCAGTATCAGCCTTTCTTAAAAATACCAAAAAATAAAGAGCATCAACATAATCAAGGATTTACATCAACTAATGGGCAAAACAGCCAGCTAACATTAAATGGCAATATTAAACTCACATATATTATTATTAATTCTAAATTTAAATTGACTAAATCCTCCAATCCAAAGACACAGACAGGCAAAAAAAAGCCAAGACCCATTGGTATGCTGCATCCAGACCCATCTCACATGAAAGAATACACAAAGACTCAAAACAAAGGGACGGAGAAAGATTTACTAACTAAATCTTTCTCAAAATCAATAAATAAATAGAAAGCAGGAGTTGCAATTTTTGCTGATAAAATAGACTTTAAAGCAACAAAGATCAAAAGAAGCAAAGAAGGATATTACATAATGATAAAAGGATCAATGTAACAAGAGCTAAAGATCCTAAATATATACGCACCCAATACAGGAATATCCAGATACATAAGACTTATAAAGAGACTCGGACTCCCACACAATAATAGCGGGAGACTTCAACATCAATATTAGACAGATCAATGAGACAGAAAGTCAACAACGATATCCAGGACTTGAACTCAGATCTGGAACAAGCAGACTTAATTAACATTTATAGAACTCTCCACTTTAAATACACAAAATACACACTCTTATCAGTACCACATCACACCTATTTACAGGTTTAAATGAAATATTGGTTGGCTGCTTGTTAGTTATTTTCTTTCATCATTTCTTTTTTCATGTCTCTATTATAAAGCACAATTATAGGTATACCCATTTTTAGACTGCATTCTAGCCCGGGCAATAAAGCAACACCCCCGTTCTCTCTCCCTCTTCCTTCCTCTCCTTCATTCTTTTTTCTTTTTCTTTCTTTCTTCTTTAAAAAACAAAAAACAAAAAAACAAAAACGTACATACACACGGATTAGCAGGAATAATGGGAACCTGGCATTACACTGCTCTTGGCTAAGTAATTTTGTGATTCATTTGTGTGCAGGCCTACCTGTGAACTAATTAATCAGGCAACCGGGGCTGTACAATCTGCCCAGGTGCCCCACTCTTACTTCTTCATTTTTCCATCACCCACTTCTTGTTCCCTTCTCTGCGCATGATTAGGAAACTGTTATTTATCTTTTCTTTAAAAAAAAAAAAATTTCACACCTGCCTACAAAAAAGGTCTAAACTAAGCTGTATTTACTTCATTTGTTTCTCACTGGTAAAAGGTTCTTTACCTTTTTCTTCTGTCCATCCTCCTGTGATGGAAGCATGCAATGGAAAAAGAAGCCAAGATAAGGGAGTGCCCATTTACCCAACTCCATGAGAGTCATTTACATCTTTACCTTGAAATTAATAACACAATGTGAGAGGCTGTACAGATGGTCCTACACCAAGAGTCAGGACTAGTCATTTCTGAATGATTTTCCCTCCTTTAGTAAAATTCTTGCTCGGGGTTAATTCCAGAATGCATGACTACCTATTAATATATTGTACATGTAAATTAGACCAAGGTATAAAGAATATAAGCATTACTTTAAGGAAACACTTCATCTTCAAACATACATTTTAGAAATAAGTACCTCATTGGAAGATAAATCAAAACAAAATGACCAGAATCATAAAATGGTAACGAGCAGAAACCTTATTAATAATGAAAGCCATTCATTTAAAAGACTCAGAGAATTATAAAATGGGCAAAATATTTTAATAAAAGTATAATACACTTATAGTTTCACATGCCACTACATTATCTTAATACTTAAGAAACTAACTTGAAGTCTTAATATTTAAGAAATTAACTTGAATGCTTAAGATCTGGGGCAGAAAATCTTAAAAATAATTTAAATTAACTCAAGTTTGGGATAGGATCAGAGGACTTTAGGGCTCGAGGGAATCTAGCATAGCTTCAGATTCTCACTTTGCTACTTATAAGCTGTGTGTCTTTGAGTGACAACTCTGATTCTGTTTCCACTTTATAAAAGAGGCAATACTATCTACTGGATAGATAGGTACTAAATGTATGCATTAAATAGGATGACACATTTCAAAGGATGCAGCAGATGTTCAATAAATGGTAGCTACTGTCATCCCCACCATTTAGTCTACCTCCCCCTTCTAAACCCCCTTCTGAGAATCCCAGACGCAAGGAGGCTGCGAACATCTAGGTCTCACAATTTCCAGCCCACCAATATTTCACCACCTCACCCCATCTTACTCCTAAATTGATAAAAGGCCTTTGTATGTATAAGATACTACAAGATTCAAGAAACAAAATTATAATCATTTAAGCGTTAAAAAGGAGTTATATATATATGTTGTTTTTACAATAAAATATACTTTTAAAAAAGTGTATCTTTCCCGCTGGGCGGAGTCGCTCACGCCTGGGTGGATCGCTTGAGGTCAGGCGTTCGAAATCAGCCTGGACAACACGGTGAAACCCCATGTGTACTACAAATACAAAAATTAGCCGGGTGTACTGGCGGGCGCCTATAATCCCAGCTCCTCAGAAGGCTGAGACACCAGAATCGCTTGAACCTCTAAGGTGGAGGTTGCCGTGAGCCGGGATCGCGCCACTGCACTCCAGCCTGGCAACAGAGCGACTCTATTTTAAATAAAACAAAACAAACAACAACAAAAAGTATCTTTCTACCTCTAGTATGTACTACTTTCCCCGAAAAAAAAAAGAAAAAAAAAAAAAAAAAAAGGGAAAGCCCTTGTTGCCGACAACCTGAGGACGGGCAATCTGAGTCTTATCTGGCTTCCCCCAGGGTCACGGGCTACGGTTCCCTACTGAAGGCTGACTCAAAGACAGACGCGCTGGAAGCCTCCAGAAGAAACTCCGTTCAGTTCAGTTCTGCACATTGTGCTGCAGGGCTGAAAAAGCACGAGGGTCCGCACGGTGACAAAAGAAAAGGGGCGTCCCCTGAAAACACCACCTGTTCCCCTGTATGCGTCTGGTGAACCGGGACGCTAAGAACCTGGAGGACAGAGAGTTCTCAGGGGGATGAAGCGCCGAACAGACTGGCGCCCGAAAAGTGAGTCCCGGAGACTGGGCTCCGTGGGGCCACAGAGCGCCACGACTTGGGGTGCGGGTTCAGGGCGCCCACGGAGAGGCAAAGACTTGGGCTGCGTGAGAGGACGCTCCCTCCCTGTGAGGGAGGCCAGCAGGGCGGCCGGGAAGGCCAGAGACGTGGCGGTGCGACCGCCCCGTCCCCTGCAGGCCGAAGCCCCGCCACCGAGCACCGCCGACGCCGCCTACCTTTCGCGGGGTCACCTCCTCTCAGCCCCGAGACACCCCGCCCAGCTCCGCGTCGCCTCGCCTCGTCGTCCCGCCTGCGAGAGCGAGCGGCGGAGCGCGCCCAGCGCGGCGCCACAGCGTCCCCTACCGTCCGGAGGCTGCGGCGCAGCGGCGCGGGAGTGCGGGGACCAGCCCAGCGCTCGCCCCCACGGGTTGGGAGGACCTCGCGCCAGGTCCTTGGAGCCTGCGGGCTGGAGTTTGCGAGGGGCGTTTTTGCTTTTTCCCCTTTTTGACCTTTAGTTTTCCGCCTCCCAATTTCAAATTACCTTTCAGTTCCATGTGTATGTTTGTGTAAATAAAAGGAGACATCTCCTAGAAATATGTCTATTTCACGAACGCGGAAAGCATTACGACTTGCGAAAGAAAGCTAGGTCTGATCTCCTCCTACCCCTATTTTAGGGGCACCGTCATTTAAGTGTAGAGTTAATACTCTGCCATTCCATTAGGGACTTGAGAGTCCAAGATGCAGGATGTATGCAGGTGCAGTTGAGACAAGAACAGGCATATGGATGCTGGTTTGCACATCCTTTGCTGAGGTACATGTTTGTTGGGATACACGTGAAAACGGATATGGTTTGGCTCTGTGTCCCTACCCAAATCTCCTATGAAATAACAATCCCTTATGTTGAAGGAGGGGCCTGGTGAAAGGTCATTGAATCATGGGGCAGGCTTCCCCGTTGCTTTTCCCATGATGGGGTTCTCAGAAAATCTATTTGTTTAAAAATGTGTAGCACTCCCCCCTTCACACTCTCTCTCTGGTGCCATGGTAAGACATACTTGCTTCCCCTTCCAACATGATTGTAAGTTTCCTGAGACCTCTGGAGCTATACCTCCTGTACAGCCTGTGGAATTGTGAGCTAATTAAACCTCTTTTCTGTATACCTTACCCAGACTCAGGTAGTTATTTATAGCAGTGCGAGATGAACTAATACAAAAACCAAAAATACAATTCTAAACACCACCACCACCCACCCACTCCCTGGAAAGGACTGGACCTTTGTCTTGGCCAAGGTAATGTCAAAAAAACCTGAAAAACGAGTTCAGGCCCTGATAGGAAGTGGGGGTGGTTGGACATGCCTCATTATACCCTCCTCCCATTGGAGTTTAGACACACAGCATTAACACTAAAATGGAGATCTTAAGACTGACAAAATAGACTGTAGCAATAAGAAAATTCCAACCTGACTCTGGAATAACATCATGTGACACATAGTGGGTCCTGAAAGAAATAAAAATATGTTACCCCAAAATATATTTATTTGACATATTTTGAAATGGCCTTGCAAAGCTGTCTCTTGTGGGGAAAATTTACATTCCATAGAGAATCTCTTTCCCTTACTAAATCTTTTCCAGAGAGTTTGACATCTTTTAAGGTTTGATGAGAGACATTCGCATGCATTCTCTGAAGCCAGCTACCTGGAGGCTTCATCCACATAATGAGAACCCAGGTTGCCACAACACTCCTGCTTACCTTAACTCAAGCTGGCTTCACATCTTCAGGCAGAGCTTAACCCTTTCAACTAATTGACAACGTGAAGATCTTTGAATTCACCTATGATCTGGAAGCCCACCCCCACACTGCTTTGAGATGGGCCAAACCAATGTATACCTGACATATACTGACATATGTCTTTGCCTGTAACTTCCATTTCTCTAAAATGTATAAAATCAAGCTGTAGCCCAACCATCTTGGGCACATGTTCTCAGGACCGCCCGAGGCTGTGTCACAGGCCATGGTCCTTAACGTTGGGGAAATAAACCTCTAAATTCATTGAGTCTCATATACATTTTGGTTTACACAAGTTATATTAAAACAAACAGAATAGTTGGAATAGAAGGTGCCCATATTTTGGCATGGGTCTATATAAAGCTTTGGCAAATAGGTTTTGAATTTAAAACTTGTTCTCTCAAGCCAAATTAACTTCACATTTGATTTGAGTTTTTTTTAATTTTAATATTTATGTGTATATATTTATGGGTACATGAGATATTTTGATACAAGCATACAATGCACAGTAATCACATCAGGGTAAATAAATGGAGTATCCACCACATTAAGGATTTATCATTCATGATACAAACATTCCAATTATATGCTTAGTTTTTTATTAATTTTTATTTATTTGAGATGGAGTCTCACTCTGTCGCTAGGCTGGAGTGCAATGGCCCGATCTCGGTTCACTGCAACCTCCGACTCCCTGATTCAAGCAATTCTCGTGCCTCAGCTTCCCAAGTAGCTGGAATTAGAGGCATGCACCACTATGTCCAGCTAATTTTTGTATTTTTAGTAGAGATGGAGTTTCACCATGTTGCCGAGGATAGTCTCAATCTTCTGACCTCATGATCTACCCACCTCGGCCTCCCAACTGCTGGGATTACAGGCATGAGCCACCGTGTCCAGGCTACTCTTAGTTATTTTTAAATGTATAATCAATTATTGCTGTCTGTAATTATCCTGTTGTGCTATCAAATACTAGATCTTACTCATTTTATCTAAGTGTACTTTTGTACCCCCTAAAAATCCCCATTTCCCACTTACCCCATACTCACTACCCTTCCTAGTGTCTGGTAACCCTCATTCTACTCTATCTCCATGAGTTCTTTTGTTTTAATTTTTCTCTCCTACAAATAAGTAAGAAATGCAACATTGTCTTTCTGTGTCTAGCTTATTTCACTGAAAATAATGTCCTCCAGTTCCATATACACTGTTGCAAATTGTTTTTTATGTCTGAACAGTACTCTGTTGTAGATATGTACCACATTTTTTTCTTTATCCATTTATCTGTTGATGGACACTTAGATTGCATCTAAATTTAGTTATTGTGATTAGTGCTGCAATAAACATGGGAGAGCAGATATCTTTTTGATATGTTGATTTCCTTTCTTTTGGGCATATGCCTGGCTTGAGGTTTAATTTTTAAAAGCTCATTGACATCTTGTATTAAAAGGCAAGCTGCTAACAAAATAAGTTAAATTTCAATTAAAAAGCTGTTACTGCAGTAGCTAAAAACTGCAGCAAGGCTAAAAAACACTACTTAGCAGACCCAAACTTTTTTCTTATCCCTCAGGGTTCTCAGTAATCTGTAACATGTCAAATATCACTAGGGAAACAAAGTACTTTTATTGTTATGATCAATAGAAAGTGATCAGATGAAAGAATACCAGAAACACACTGTTGCAACAAAATTGGGTTTACCATCTTGGCTTTAGTAGGTATAGAAGACAATGGATTGCCATCTTTATTGCTGTAATGTGTTAAGCATTATGTGTGAGTAGAATCTAGTTTAATTGTTTCAGGTGGAAAGTATTCTTTGAGTTTCCATTTTGAATGTGTTTAGACTAAACAAACAATAATAATAAATAAAAAAGGATGTGTAAGAAAAGAGCACAAGCTCTAGGTAAAGATAACAGAGAAAAGCCTGAAGACCTTGCCTATTTCATGGATATGAATATAATGTGAATGATATGACATGTTTAGTCATTTTTGTTTATAATTCATTCCATTTTATGCGTTTAAGAAATTACTTTGAGGCCGGGCGCGGTGGCTCAAGCCTGTAATCCCAGCACTTTGGGAGGCTGAGGCGGGTGGATCACGAGGTCAAGAGATCGAGACCATCCTGGTCAACATGGTGAAACCCCGTCTCTACTAAAAATACAAAACATTAGCTGGGTGTGGTGGCACGTGCCTGTAATCCCAGCTACTCAGGAGGCTGAGGCAGGAGAATCGCCTGAACCCAGGAGGCAGAGGTTGCGGTGAGCCGAGATCGTGCCATGGCACTCCAACCTGGGTAACAAGAGTGAACCTCCATCTCAAAAAAAAAAAAAAAAAAAAATTACTTTGAAGAGTGATGCCAATCTGATTCAGCTTTTGTAATCTTAATTTTGAGCAGGGCCATCAATATTTAATAATATTTCCAGGAGATTTTTATATTTGAAGGGATTGCATTAAGCAAAGATTAACCTGTGTGAACACACATTCAAAGGGACAATGAATGGTCTGTTTTAATCTGGGGTTCCGAAAGTGTGCTCTGGGAACAATACTGGTGGTCTGGGAGCCTTCTCAAGGGATCACTGATGACACTAGTGCTTTTTAAAATTCAGGCAATAATAGTTGAATGATAATATTTAATAAAAGTCATACATTACTGGTATTTTATCAAATGCAGGTCTTCTTTTTTAAAAAATAACATAAATGCTGGTACTTGCTCTTTTCCTAGCAGAAAGCCAAGCCGAAGTAGTTGATATAATCAGTGGGGGCCAAGGATATCTGACTCCCTTGAATGAATTATTAGTTGATAAATAAAAAAATTAAACATATTGTGGTAATTTGCAAAAATCTTTCTAATTCTTCACCCTCCCTGTCCCCCCACCTCATCCATGCTCTCCCGCTCTGACTCTGGGGTGTCACCGTTGTGATTTATTTTTGCTGATATATTAGCAAATGTGAAACAAAATAAGCTGGAAATGTACCTGAACTGGTAAACATACTCTAGCTAGCCTACTGGAGATGAAAAACATGCAGAGCAAAACCAAGTGACCCTAATCATTCCAACTGAGGCCACTCTGGATTGACCAGACAGGTGTGTACTCCTTGAGTGAGGTCAGTCAGGCCTGCCCAGATCAGCTGAACTCTGCAGATTCATGAACTTAAATATATGCAGTTTTGTTTGCCACACTGAGGTTCAGTTGGTTGTTGTGCAGCATTAGGTTGCCAATAGATAACTGACAATATGCCCTTCATTGTGAATTCCTTGGAATCAAAGAGTATTTGCCTGGTAGCTTAAGGAGTGGTCTGTTTTCTAGTGGTGCTTGTAAGAGGACAAACATCTTGCTATTTTTGAAAATTATGTAGTTGTCTGCCATCACAGGAATGTCTGACCTAGGGAGAAAATGAAATCTATCAAATGGTATGAGACATAAATTAATACAAAAAAAAAAATGAATGGGGAACTGATATTGTTAGAGGGTCACATTTCATTACCATTTTTCTTCCAAATAATGTTAGCAGAACTGTTTTAAATACTTTTTATGTCAGGTCATTTTGTATTTATT